AACTCAGTCAAATCTTTGACATTTTTGCATGTTGTGTTTATATTTCTGTTCAGTGTAGTTGGTTGAGTACTGGGCCCCCAATATCTCTGTTGTTTAGGAAACACATCCATCCCCCCTTTCTAAGTGAAGCCTGAGCCCCAACTGGAGAGATGAGGAACTACATCTCTATTCATCCGCCTGGCAGCCCACAACACTGCTTAATGTCAACTGTTGTGTTATTGAATGAAAGAAGTAGTCCTGGTTCTCGTTTAACTCGCTTTAATAATAACTAACAGTCAGACAGGTTTCACAGTTCAAAGCCATTCTAGTTCTGCCGTTCTAGTCGTCTTCATTCTTATAACATGTAGGTAATCTCTGTAAACCCGGCTCCCACACACTACAACACACACAGATCAGCTCCCACACACAAAGACCAGCAGTAGCATGTGAATATTGTTGCAGTGGATGAGATTCTAATAAACTCTAATCGCTCCTCTAGACATTGGGCAGCAGTGGGTACGTTTGCCTCCTGGCTCCTGTCAAGGCTCAGATACACATTCCTCTGGTCTCTCTGGCAGGTATTCCCTCTCAGCTGGTCTCTGGGGTGGAGCGTGCGGAGCACCCCGATCTAGCGTGAGAGACTACAACAACCCTAACCAGAGGGTCAGGTGCAGGAAGGACTATAATCCACTGACACATGCTTCATTATCAAAACATGATTAATGAAATCTCATATTTTTCTAAACGCATATATATGGTTCTTAGTCTCTGTATGATTCAATTGTAAACCAGTTTATATGAATAAGTCAATCCGATAGCCTGTCAAACAATGAAATACAGAACACTTGTGACAAAAATACACTATTAAAGTTTTATTATGACAAACAATATGTAAACATACTGTAGCCTATGCATGGTACTGTGGGTGAATAAAAAAAGTGCATTTGGTAACACGACAGGTTTAATGCATTACGATGCTATATGACCTCCTTATAAACGTCTTCTCATAATGATCCGGACTGAATTACAACCATTTTGAGTCAGTAAAACTATTATAATAAGACATAATAAGGGCTCATACATGCTTATATCAAGTATTAAAGTATACCTGTCAGCTTAAATGAAATGTTATTAATATTATATTTTGGGGGGGTTTGAATACACAATGTCACGAAGTGTAAAACGTGAGGTTAACAGAACAAAATACATCATTCGGGAGTGAAGCAGAGGATGAGTGCTCACAAAGCAGGGGTTAGGGGTCAGAGGGATAACTCAAACAGCACATTTTAACCAGGGAGTCAAGCTGCCTAATCAGAACATCCAAGCCTCTATGGTTGTAGAATGATTAGAAAACTAATATCTATTGTTCAGTTAGCTCCTGTCCAGGGCGTTACGTGGCTTGCTGACGCAGTAAGCCACACCTAACACCCTGGACCAAAGCTATTGTTCAGCTAGCTCGGTCAGCAGAGGAGAGGAGTGAGGAGGTCTATGGTCTGATTGGACCACAGTGATGATTCATGCCATGTTAAAGGACTGCAGAGGGTTTGTTGCTGGTTGACTGACAGTGAAACCAGTGTCAGTGATACAGTGGGGTCCGAAATGATTGGCACCCTTGATAAAGATGAGCAAAAACGACTGTATTAAATAAATCATTCAAATACTGAGCTATATTGTATGATTTAAAAAAAGGGGAATTATAGTATAATAATAATTAGGTGGGTGCTTATATTTGTCCTATTTCACACATGTACACGTGTGTATTAATACGCATATGTGAATATTTTTTTTTTTTGCATATCCCAACTCTCCCTGAGACACCCTCAGAGAGTTGTGATTGTATTGCTCAGATAAATATATTTTTTTAACAAGTAATATATATTTTTTAATCTAAAAAAGATAGGGGTCAAAAGCATTGACACCCTTTTTCAATACCTTACCTTGCGAGTATTAAGGCATTGAGACTTTTTCTAAAATGTTTTATGAGATTGGAGAATACATTGGTAGGGATATTAGGCCATTCCTCCATACATAATCTTTCCCAGATCCTGGATATCCTTCATCTGCTCTTATGGACTGCCCTCTTCAATTCAAACCAAAGGTTTTCAATGGGATTCAAATCCGGAGACTGAGATGGCCATTGCAAAATGTTGATTTTGTGGTCAATTAACCATTTTGTTAATCTCATAAAGCCTTTTAGAAAAAGTCTCAGTGCCATTATCCTCGCAAGGTGAGGTATTGAAAAGGTATTGAAAACAGGGGTGTTAATAATTTTGATAAAAAAAATTCAACAAAATCTCTTTCTCTGAGTAATTGTAATAGAAAATAATATACTTTCCCTTTTTTTTTTTTTTTTACAGACAATATAACTCAGTATTTGAATTTATATTATACAGTCATTTTTGCTCATCTATATCAAGGGTTTCAATATTTACGGAACACACCATGTCCAGAGAGAGAGCGGGAATGTACACTTCATATACAAAAGTATGTAGACCCCCCCTTAAAATTACTGGATTCGGCTATTTCAGCCACACCCGTTGCTGACAGGTGTATCAAATCGAGCACACAGCCATGCAATCTCCACAGACAAACATTGGCAGTAGAATGGCCTTACTGAAGAAATCAGTGACTTTCAACGTGGCACCGTCATAGGATGCCACCTTTCCAACAAGTCAGTTCGTCAAATTTCTGCCCTGTTAGTGCTGCCCCTGTCAACTGTAAGTGCTGTTATTGTGAAGTGGAAACATCTAGGAGCAACAACGGCTCAGCCGCGAAGCGGTTGGCCACACAAGCTCACAGAAAGGAACAGCCGAGTGCTGAAGCGCGTAGCATGTAAAAATCGTCTGTCCTTGGTTGAAACACTCACTACCGAGTTCCATACTGCCTCTGGAAGCAACATCAGCACAAGAACTGTTCGTCGGGAGCTTCATGAAATGGGTTTCCATGGCCGAACAGCTGCACACAAGTCTAAGATCACCATGCGCAATGCCAAGCGGTGTAAGTGGTGGTGTAAAGCTGGAGTGGTGTAAAGCTCGCCGCCATTGGACTCTGAAGCAGTGGAAACACGTTCTCTGGAGTGATGAATCACGCTTCACCATCTGGCAGTCCGACTGATTAATCTGGGTTTGGTGGATGCCCCAATGCATAGTGCCAACTGTAAAGTTTGGTGGAGGAGGAATAATGGTCTGGGGCTGTTTTTCCATAGTTTGGGCTAGGCCCCTTAGTTCCAGTGAAGGGAAATCTTAACGCTACAGCATACAATGACATTTTAGACGATTCTGTGCTTCCAATTTTGGGGAAGGCCCTTTACTGTTTCAGCATGGCAATGTCTCCGTGCACAAAGCGAGGTCCATAGAGAAATGGTTTGTTGAGATCGGTATGGAAGAACTTGACTGGCCTGCACAGAGCCCTGACCTCAACCCCATCGAACACTTTTGGGATGAATTCGAACGCCGACTGCGATCCAGGCCTAATCGCCCAACATCAGTGCCCAACCTCACTAATGCTCTTGTGGCTGAATGGAAGCAAGTCCCCGCAGCAATGTTCCAGCATCTAGTGGAAAGCCCTCCCAGAAGAGTGGAGGCTGTTATAGCAGCAAAGGGGGGAACCAACTCCATATTAAAGCCCATGATTTTGGAATGAGATGTTCGACAAGCAGGTGTCAACATACTTTTGGTCATGTAGTGCATGTATTGCTATAGGGTCCTCTGAAAGAGAATAGATCAAAATTGTCCCTAACCACAGATTAAAGAGGTTGGTTGGCACACACCAAAAAGGGGGGGGGGGGTCTCTTGATTTATACACACACTCCCTTTTCTCCCCTCATACAAACCTGCCTCTCCGATAAGTGCTTGGAGGAAAAATGTCTTGTCAGTTCCATTAAAGATATCTTATGTTATTTAAATACTTAGCTTTTACATGATACAAATAAATACAAAAACGTCATTATCAGTTAATGTAGAGAGGAGTGAGATTATCAGAACATCACATTGCACTGGAATTATAGGTGGAGTACTTTTTATGGTAACACTTTACTTAGAGTGATATGCAGCCATCATATGCATGACGTAAGGAGTCGTAATGCCCTACATGTTTATATACCCTTATAAATGCTTTTCCAAGCCTCAAGCAGCATCTAAGTAAAGTGTTACCTTTTTGGTAGTCAAGTATGTACTGATACGTACTGGTATACAACCTTCTGGAGACATGCACTAAACACACAGGAGAGGAATCACAGGAGAGGAATCATCATCCTGCATAATCATGTGTCGTTGTATATGTATTATAGGACATGTTAAGTCTAAGGCAAAGTAAAAAGAAATGACCTGAAAATAACATATATAAAAGTTATGATCCAGACATGATCAAACAGGATCTGATTGTTTAGAAACACACATGTTACATGCAGTCTGCCCCTGCGACAGGAGGATCCAGCGGCTCAAACCCAAATCCTTCAGTGTGGTTTTAGGAGAATGGAAAAACAGTCTTCACTATGGTTATCCCATAGAGTTGGATAGAGGGCTCACTTGGATAGAAGATGAGCTCTCTACTACATCTCTATGGGTTCTCCAGTCCTCTTCATGTCAGCTGGGACAGGTTTGGTTCTTCAAGGAGCACTTCTTTGTCACACCCTTGACACACACACCCAGAGGCAGATGCCATCTTGTCTGAGGAGGTGACTCAACAGTTTTGTGAGGCTCAGACACAAGGCATTCTGGGAGAGAGCTGTGGCTGTATCTGTGGCCGCTGTCCTTCATCATGTTGCTTTTATTACACTTTAGTAACTTATTAATAACGCTCTGTGTATGTACAAAGCCTTTATAGCCCTCTCTCGCTGCATGTTTATAAAGCCTTTATAACTGTGTGGTTACTCAATCTTTATGTCTCTGTTTTTATTGACTTACTTGCCTTACTCCTTTCAGCATCTAGTAGAGCAAAGGGCCTCAACGGTGCATCTCCATGGAATTAATGTGATATTAAGCCTTTATACCAGTCTCTCTGTGTTTATAAAGCCTTTGTTACTGCTGTGGCTGCTCAAAGGCCACACCCAGTTTGTCGTAGATCTCCTTTAGCAGCAGCAGAGCAGTGTCCTCAGACTCCCTACACACACAGGAGAGACACAAGAGTGACTTACTTGTTGTGTGTATGTACTGACATGTACAGTGCATTCGGAAAGTATTCAGACCACTTCCCTAAAAATTCCTCATCAATCTACACACATACCCCATAATTACAAAGCGAAAACAGGATTTTAGAATTTTTGCAAATTTATAAAAAATTAAAAACATACATTTTATTTACATAAGTATTCAGACCATTTGCTATGAGACTTGAAATTGAGCTCAGGTGCATCCTGTTTCCATTGATCATCCTTGAAATGGTTCTACAACTTGATTGGAGTCCACCTGTGGTAAATTCAATTGATTCGACATGATTTGGAAAGGCACACACCGGTCTATACAAGGTCCCACAGTTGACAGTGCATGTCAGAGCAAAAACCAAGCCATGAGGTCGAAGGAATTGTCCGTAGAGCTCCGAGACAGGATTGTGTCGAGGCACAGATCTGGGGAAGGGTATCAAAAAATGTCTGCTGCATATAAGGTCCCCAAGAACACAGTGGCCTCCATCACTCTTAAATGGAAGAAGTTTGGAACCACCAAGATTCTTCCTAGAGCTGGCCACCCAGCCAAACTGAGAAATCAGGGAAGAAGGGCCTTGGTCAGGGAGGTGACCAAGAACCCGATGGTCACTCTGATAGAGCTCCAGAGTTCTTCTGTGGAGATGGGAAAACCTTCCAGAAGGACAACCATCTCTGCAGCACTCCACCAATCAGACCTTTATGGTAGAGTGGCTAGACGGAAGCCACTCCTCAGTAAAAGGCACATGACAGCCTCCCTGACCAAGGCCCTTCTCCCCTAATTGCTCAGTTTGGCCAGGAGGCTGAAGAAATTTGGCTTGGCACCTAAAACCCTCAAACCTTTACAGATGCACAATTGAGATCATCCTGTCGGGCTGTACCACCGCCTGGTACGGCAACTGAACCGCCTGCAACCGCAGGGCTCTCCAGAGGTTGGTGCGGTCTGCTGAACACATTATCGGGGGAGAACTACCCTACTCATTCAAGGGTTTTTCTTTATTTTTACTATTTTCTAATAGTGAAGACATCAAAACTATGAAATAACACATATGGAATCATGTAGTAACCAAAAAAAAGTGTTAAACAAATAAAAATATATTTTATATTTGAGATTCTTCAAATAGCCACCCTTTGCCTTGATGACAGCTTTGCACACTCTTGGCATTCTCTCAACCAGCTTCACCTGGAATGCTTTTCCAACAGTCTTGAAGGAGTTCCCACATATGCTGAGCACTTGTTGGCTGCTTTCCTTCACTCTGCGGTCCGACTAATCCCAAACCCTCTCAATTGGTTTGAGGTCAGGGGATTGTGGAGGCCAGGTCATCTGATGCAGCACTCCATCCCTCTACTTCTTAGTAAAATAGCCCGTACACAGCCTGGAGGTGTGTTAGGTCATTGTCCTGTTGAAAAACAAATGATAGTCCCACTAAGCCCCAACCAGATGGGATGGCGTTTCGCTGCAGAATGCTGTGGTAGCCATGCTGGTTAAGTGTGCCTTGAATTTAAAAAAAAATACAGACAGTGTCACCAGCAAAGCACCCCCACACCATAACACCTCCTCCTCAATGCTTTAAGGTGGGAAATACACATGCGGAGATCATCCGTTCACCAACACTGCATCTCACAAAGACACGGCAGTTGGAACCAAAAATCTCAAATTTGGGCTCCAGACCAAAGGACAAATTTCCACCGGTCTAATGTCCATTGCTCGTGTTTCTTGGCCCAAGCAAGTCTCTTCTTCTTATTGGTGTCCTTTAGTAGTGATTTCTTTGCAGCAATTCGACCATGAAGGCCTGATTCCAACCGTCTCCTCTGAACAGTTGATGTTGAGATGTGTCTGTTACTTGAACTCTGTGAAGCATTTATTTGGGCTGCAATTTCTGAGGCTGGTAATTCTAATGAACTTATCCTCTGCAGCAGAGGTAACTCTGGGTCTTCCATTCCTGTGGCGGTCCTCATGAGCCAGTTTCATCATAGAGCTTGAAGGTTTTTGCGACGGCACTTGAAGAAGCTTTCAAAGTTCTTGAAATGTTCAGTATTGACTGACCTTCATGTCTTAAAGTAATGATGGACTGTCGTTTCTCTTTGCTTATTTGAAATGTCCACCTTGTCACAACAAAACTGATTGTATGTATATATTCTTAATTCCATTCCTTACTTAGATTTGTGTGTATTGGGTATATGTTGTGAAATTGTTAGATATTGCTTGTTAGATATTACTGCACTGTCGGAGCTAGAAGCACAAGCATTTCGCTACACTCGCAATAACATCTGCTAAACACGTGTATGTGACAAATAAAATTTGATTTGATTTGACAGCCCGCTTGGAGTTGGCCAAAATGCACCTAAAGGACTCTCAGACCATGAGAAACAAGATTCTCTGGTCTGATGAAACCAAGATTGAACTCTTTGGCCTGAATGCCAAGCGTCACATAATATAATATATAATAATAATATAATATAATATATAATATATAATATGCCATTTAGCAGACGCTTTTATCCAAAGCGACTTACAGTCATGTGTGCATACATTTTTATTTTATTTTGTATGGGTGGTCCCGGGGATCGAACCCACTACCTTGGCGTTACAAGCGCCGTGCTCTACCAGCTGAGCTACAGAGGACCACCTGGCACCATCCCTACGGTGAAGCATGGTGGTGGCAGCATCATGCTGTGGGGATGTTTTTCAGTGGCAGGGACTGGGAGACTAGTCAGGATCGAGGCAAAGATGAACGGAGCAAAGTACAGAGAGATCCTTGATGAAAATCTGCTCCAGAGCGCTCAGAACCTCAGACTGGGGCAAAGGTTCACCTTCCAACAGGACAAAGACCCTAAGCACACATCCAAAACAATGCAGGAGTGGCTTCGGGACAAGTCTCTGAATGTCCTTAAGTGGCCCAGCCAGAGCCCGGACTTGAACGTGATGGAACAAATCAGGAGAGACCTGAAAATAGCTGTGCAGCAACGCTCCCCACCCAACCTGACAGAGCTTGAGAGGATCTGCAGAGAAGAATGGGAGAAACTCCCCAAATACAGGTGTGCCAAGCTTGTAGTGTCATACCCAAGAAGACTCGAGGCTGTAATCGCTGCCAAAGGTGCTTCAACAAAGTACTGAGTAAAGGGTCTGAATACTTATGTAAATGTAATATTGCTTTGTCATTATGGGGTATTGTGTGTAGATTGAAGAGGATTTTCTTTTTTTAAAATCAATTTTAGAATAAGGCTGTAACGTAACAAAATGTGGAAAAAGTCAAGGGGTCTGAATACTTTCTGAATGCACTATATGTGTAACTGATAGATGTGCACACACACACACACACACACACTACATGTTAATGTTTTTAAATGTATGTAAATTGTAAAGTATTTTGTCTGTAATGTAGTTTTCGTTATGCATCGGACCCCAGTAAGACTAGCTGTCACGATTGGCGTCGGCTAATGGGGATCCTAATAATTCAAAAGGTATTTGCATTACACACACACACACACCACAGACACAAACAGACGCACACACACACACAGGTACTGACCAGTAGCAGAGGTGGGACTGGATGGCAAACAGATATTCGTTGAAACTCTCGATGGGTGCCTCCTGCAGTACATAGTCTATCCTCCGCCCTCCATTCAGCATCCCCACCTTCACCTGACGTCCCTCCTCCTCCTCCCCCGACCCTGGAGACTCCGCCTCTTCATGCACACCTGCAGGGTCAGAGATGGACCAATCACACGGAGGCAGACGGACTCCTATGTCCAGTCCAGAAACAACTCCTAGCCCTTACTTGCTATTTGCAGATATGAAAGGACTGGAAAATAAAATCCAAAATGATGCCGGCTCCACCTAGACTTCCAATAAATAGGATTAGTGAAGTTTCTGCCATTTTGCACACACCTATCTGGTTCAGTCAGATCTGCAGATGATGAAGCTAGCTAGGGAATGAGAAGTGTTTCTGGGCCAGGTAAGTTTAGTGACTGCTGTTTGAAAAGTTTGGAAGATGATGAAGGGGGGTTTCTAGAAACTGTGGAGAGAGAGTTAGCGAGTGGAGTGAGAGTTCAGTGGGCGAGGGGAGTTAGAGAGTTGAGTGTGCATAAGGAGTGAACGAGTGGAGTTTGCGAGAGGAGTTAGTGAGTGGAGTTAGAGAAAAATAAAAGTTGAGCTTCAGGAAGCAGAAGCCACTTGGAAAAGTCAGGCAGTCTATCAAGGCTCTGGGAGAGGCCAGGTGCATGGGTGAGGGGCCAGGTGCATGTGGGAAGGAGAGGGGGGAGATAACAGGGCAACAGGTGAGATATGCTAAGAAGAGAGTGTTTAAAAGGCTTGATATGCTGAGAGAAGAGGGAGGATAATAACACACTACCGAAGAAAGAGTGAGCTGTTAGACACTGCATCAATAGAACAACATCCAAGGTAAGATGGATACTTTCCTGAAGACAGTTAATGCTATTGATTTAACCACACTGTCTACAGTTTCATTATCTACAGTTTTAAAATCAGTCCATACAGTGAGGGAAAAAAGTATTTGATCCCCTGCTGATTTTGTACGTTTGCCCACTGACAAAGAAATGATCAGTCTATAATTTTAATGGTAGGTTTATTTGAACAGTCAGAGACAGAATAACAACAAAAAAATCCAGAAAAACGCATGTCAAAAATGTAATAAATTGATTTGCATTTTAATGAGGGAAATAAGTATTTCACCCCCTCTCAATCAGAAAGATTTCTGAATCCCAGGTGTCTTTTATACAGGTAACGAGCTGAGATTAGGAGCACACTCTTAAAAGGAGTGCTCCTAATCTCAGCTTGTTACCTGTATAAAAGACACCTGTCCACAGAAGCAATCAATCAATCAGATTCCAAACTCTCCACCATGGCCAAGACCAAAGAGCTCTCCAAGGATGTCAGGGACAAGATTGTAGACCTACACAAGGCTGGAATGGGCTACAAGACCATGGCCAAGCAGCTTGGTGAGAAGGTGACGACAGTTGGTGCGATTATTCGCAAATGGAAGAAACACAAAATAACTGTCAATTTCCCTCGGCCTGGGGCTCCATGCAAGATCTCACCTCGTGGAGTTGCAATGATCATGAGAACGGTGAGGAATCAGCCCAGAACTACACGGAGGATCTTGTCAATGATCTCAAGGCAGCTGGGACCATAGTCACCAAGAAAACAATTGGTAACACACTACGCCGTGAAGGACTGAAATCCTACAGCACCCGCAAGGTCCCCCTGCTCAAGAAAGCACATATACAGGGCCGTCTGAAGTTTGCCAATGAACATCTGAATGATTCAGAGGAGAACGTGTTGTGGTCAGATGAGACCAAAATCGAGCTCTTTGGCATCAACTCAACTCGCCGTGTTTGGAGGAGGAGGAATGCTGCCTATGACCCCAAGAACACCATCCCCACCGTCAAACATTATGCTTTGGGGGTGTTTTTCTGCTAAGGGGACAGGACAACTTCACCGCATCAAAGGGACGATGGACGGGGCCATGTACCGTCAAATCTTGGGTGAGAACCTCCTTCCCTCAGCCAGGGCATTGAAAATGGGTCGTGGATGGGTATTCCGCAATGACAATGATCCAAAACACACGGCCAAGGCAACAAAGGAGTGGCTCAAGAAGAGCACATTAAGGTCCTGGAGTGGCCTAGCCAGTCTCCAGACCTTAATCTCATAGAAAATCTGTGGAGGGAGCTGAAGGTTCGAGTTGCCAAACATCAGCCTCGAAACCTTAATGACTTGGAGAAGATCTGCAAAGAGGAGTGGAACAAAATCCCTCCTGAGATGTGTGCAAACCTGGTGGCCAACTACAAGAAACGTCTGACCTCTGGGTTTTGCCACCAAGTATTAAGTCATGTTTTGCAGAGCGGTCAAATACTTATTTCCCTCATTAAAATGCAAAATCAGCAGGGGATCAAATACTGTAGATATCACTGAAATACTCTTGTAACTAGCCTGTCTGAAAATACCACTTTTAGTAGTAGCCTTAAACTAAATGGTTCGAGGCCCATATCAGGCTTCAATTTCCAGGTAGAGGACTCTATGCCTAGAGGACTATATAAACCCTAAATATTAGGCTATTTTTTTCCAAGTTCAAGACAAAATATCAGGCCAAATATCAATATTACAATTTCTGTGAGTGCACACAGGCTGCTGTCTCTCTCTGCCGGGGGGGTGGGGGGTGAGGGGGTGGGGGGGGGGGGGGGGGGGGGGCGTTGTAAGGAGTATTCTCTGTGTACAGAGTGCTGGGCTGCATCTGACAGTCAGACAGCTAGAACGAAGACCACTCATACAGTAGCTCATTCTAGCCTCCATATCGCCTGGCTTCTTACCTTGGAAGTAATGTAAGTGAAGGGCTTTGGGCCACTCCAGAATTTTAGTCCACAAATCAGCCTTACTCTCTTCCCTCACAGCAGCGCAGGCTGCCGCAGGGACTAGGGTCAGGGGTCAGGGGTCAGGGGTTAGGGTAAAGGAAAGACCACCAGAACAGCAGAGAGGAGAGGAGAGGGAACATGCAGAGAGCACAAGGAACGGGGAGACTAGGTTAGACATGTCAGCAAGAACACTCACACGCTTCAAACATGCTGGGGACTGGAAGTTAACGGTTAAGTTAAAAGCCTTAAAACTTGGGGTATTAGCCTACACAGAGCAGTAATGCACTGACACTGTGTGTGTGTGTGTGTGTGTGTGTTACCCTCTGTCTCCTGCAGGGATCTCTCTGCTGTAGTTTCTCCATCCTCCACCGGGGGCAGTGCAGCGACGGGCATTCGGACCAGAGACTGCCAGGCAGTACGAAACGAGCCGAGAACGTTATTCTTCAGATCAGTACTCATCCGCGTCAGACTCTCTTTCAACTCTAGAGAACACACACGTGCACACACACTCCAAACGTTATTATTTTTCATGTCATAAGGCTTTTCAACACTACAACACATTACTGACAAAGATTAATTCTTTAACAGACGTATTGATAGAAAGATAGGTTGATATCCGTACCCAGGTGCATCCTCTTGCGGCCCTTGTGATGTGGGATCAGCATGGGCTCTAGGTCTGACTCAGACACAATCATGGGCTCGATCCGATAGGCCACAGGGTCAAACTTTAGAGGGAGAGAGAACAAGCCATGTCTCAATATATCAGATGTGCGCAGGTGTGTGGGTGTTATATTATACAATCTCAGGTAGGCAGGGATGGTGTGTGTGTGCTTACAGGGTGGTATATGTTATAGAAGTGCTTGCAGGTGGGAAAGGTGTAGTTTGGGTCGATGCGTTTGAGTCCACGGACGGTCAGGAACATTCCGATGGGAGAACCGAATGCAAAGAAGGTCTGAGGATGGAATGCCAGCTGGGGGTAGTTAATGGACACCTGGAGAGAAACGGGGAGGGAGGGAGAGTGAGAGCGAGAGAGAGATAGGGGGGTTATAAATCACATGTGTATATTCAGCCCAGAGAAGAGCAAGACAATAGGCTTGAATAGCCCAATAGAAATCGATCCCATGCAAAATGTCAACATTAAGTGATATTACATGGGTCAATACAATCCAGTGAAAAATAATGACCCAATAACACAGCCACACACACATACATTCAGCATGGGTGCAAAATGTTCATGCAACACAACAAGCCAGCAAATATTGACGGCAACAGAAGGTCTGGGAACCCTCACAGCAGCTGGCAGGAAACCATGGAGATGAGGACTCACACAGGAAGGGCACTAACAGTGGATGTGTTAATGTACTGTATGTACATACAGTATGTATCCTGGTAACAGTGAGAGTCCTATATGGAAGGAAGGGTGGAGGTGGAATGAGAGATTTGTCTGATTCATATGACAGTAAAATAGATCTTTGAGAGGGGCCTGACAGACTGGATGACCTGTCACATTGGTGTTGAGGTTAGGGTTAGGGGCGGGGCTAGAGTTCTTTCTAAGGATAAATTCTAATGCTTTCTATGAGGACAGGAGCATAAGAGGAAATGGAAGAGAACTGGGGTTGGGGACCACAACCAACAGCATGTCCTGTATAGAGAGACAGTGTGACAGACCTGTCCCTTGGCTATGCCCCCGTTGGTCTGTCCAGGCAGGCAGAGGGAGACAAGCAGGAGGGCTAGTTAGACTTCACAGCCACTTTTACTACTACTGCTGCTGCTACGACTACTACTCCAATCAAATCTAGTTTTATTTGTCACATACACATGTTTAGCAGATGTTATTGCGGGTGTAGCGACTACTGTGGGTACTATGACTACTACTGCTGCTGCTACGACTACTACTGCTGCTACGGCTACAACTACTACCGTTGCTGCTTCAACTACTACTACTACTACTACTGCTGCTGCTACGACTACTACTGCGACTACAACTACTACCGTTGCTGCTTCAACTACTACGACTACAACTGCTATGACTACTACGACTACTACTACGACTACTACTGCTATGACTACTACTACTACTACTACTACTACTACTACTACTGCTGCGACTATTACTACTACTAATACTACTGCTGCTACTACTACTACTAATATTGCTGCTACGACTACTACTGCTGCTGCTACTACGACAACTACTGCTACTACGACAACTACTGATACTATTGCTGCTGCTACTATTACTACTGCTGCTACTAATACTACTTATGCTACGACTACTACTACTACTACTACTAATACTGCTGCTACGACTATTACTAATACTACTTCTGCTACTACTACTACTACTACTACTACTAATACTGCTGCTACGACTATTACTAATACTACTTCTGCTACGACTACTACTACTACTACTAATACTGCTGCTACGACTATTACTAATACTACTGCTGCTGCAGCTCACACCAAACAGACAGGGCAGCAGAGGTGATGGTTTGAGAGCAGTGATTCAAGAGTAGAAAGTTAGTTACCTCAGAGTTAGTTGTCACTGAGTAAGTCATCACTGAGTAAGTCATCACAGAGTACCACACGCACGCAACCACAGGTAGGGGGTATGTGTTTTTGTGTGTGTGTTACCTGTCCAATGCCCACGTCGAAGTATTCGTAGTCAACAGCGCTTGTTATGGACTGGACTCTGAGAAACTGCTGTCGGCGTGCCGACGCCCCTGGAGACTGGTTGCCAAGGCTAACCGTGGGAGAGGGGGCATCGTCGGAGGGGTCTGGGGGGGCCTGCAGCCCGGGGGCCAAAAGCACCGTCCCCTGCCGACCCTCCTACACACACACGCACACAATATGGGACAAAACAATAAATGAGAATGATTAATATCTGATGTTTCCTGCTGAGACTCCACTGCACGCAAGCGCGCGCACACACACCCATACAGTACTTTGTGACAGTGTTTCCTCTGGAAAAATTTGTAGTAGCGGGGGGAAAGGAGTGGGGGGGGGGGGGGGGTCCCTCCTATAATTTTTATGTTGAAGGACTGAGGAGCTCAGTTCTGGTGACTTTTTAAAAGGACATTCTACTCAAAATGAATGAAAATAAGTATGCTGACACCATCTAAATGATCATTTCCACCTCCAGAAATTAGCCCAATAACACATTGCTAAAATTATTTGTTACAATTATTTTAACATATTGGGCCATGTAGAGTATATAGCCTTTGCATGGTCCATATTTTCAGGTATGCTATTAGCAATAAACACTAATCACCTTTAGCCCAACTGATGCAGCAAAGTGAAGATAAATAGGCTGAAGGATGGGGTTGCCCATCTGCATTTACCCTATTGGTCTAATCATTAGCCAGATCTCAAATGTGATCTTTTAACTAGTTATTATCATATTGATTAATTTTATGTCCCAAAAAACGTGCATAAACACTGTATATAATGCAGGTCTACCTGTTAGGGTATCTTGGGGTAACTCTCAACACACGGGGTAAAAAGCACCCTGCCTGTACTTGTCACAGAAACCACTTCATGTCAAAATTTCCCCCCCAACACTTTCCCTGGTTTCCACTACTCTTGCTCAACCCAAAATATTATCTGTCTCATCACAATTTTTTAAGTCATTCCAAATAAATGATTTTGAGGTAGAGGCGTTGTACCCCAAGTCACCCTACAATTGACCGATGTTACATTTAGCCCCACTCTCCCCTATGCACTCACTTCCAATTGCTGAGGGGTAACATGCTTAGCCATGCTTCTGCTAAAAAAAACCCAGGTTTCAAATGGCACAGTTGGCGCATATTTAGGAGTTGATAAATAAATAAAGTAGGAATGGAAAGCTGCGATTCCCCTCTTTTTAACAAAAGCCATTAAAACTGCTGTTTTCGCGATTGCAAGAATTGTTGTGCATTGACTGCTTGTCAGAATGCATGTTTCCCTCCCTATGGCACTTATAACATGAATGCGCCACGAGAGGAATATTTATCTAGCATAGAACACAACAACAAGCAGACTAGGTAAATATATAAACTATTCTACTATGGGGTTGTTCAATTGTTCTATTAGTTACTTGTTTTGTTTGTAGAGGAAAAGTACATGTGGAATGTTCTAGCATCTTCAAAATGCGCCTCAGCAGAACTATTTTTCATGTTCCATATTTTTTGTTGTTGCGTGGCGGTAATGATTTTGCCGTGGTGCAGCTCCACAGCAAAATGAGTGCAGCGGAAACACTGCTTTGTGACCTTATGAACCCTGACCTGTAGGAAGTGTCTCTTCCGTATGAAGCTGAGGATCTTCTTCCTCGGTCCCAGAGGGATTCCAAGCTCTGTCAGGTCAGTCTCGTCACACAGAGCCTGAGGGAAGACTGGGATATTAGTGCACACGACACACACACACACACACACACACACGACACACAGGACACACACGACACAGTCTCACCAGTGAGTCAAGGTCTAGGTCCACGCTCTGTAGTGTAGCCAGGTGCTCCTGGAGGCCCATTCTGCATAGAGCCTGCTCCAACGCATCACAGGTCAGAGGGCAGGGGTCACGGTTACGACCCTACAGGCCAGACGAGGGGTGTTATTATGTTATAGAACATAAATATAATTGAATAGTCATTACATTCCTACACTGTGATGTCTATAGCATTAACAAAGTGGCATCTAGACCTTAATTGTACTGTACAGCAGGATGTCTATCACTAAGAGGCCTACAGTTCCCCCTAATATAGACAAGACATGAGTTATGTAGCACACTAACCGCAACAAAACCCCACTGCTGTGAGATTATAAAAGATCTCTAGTACCTGGATTTTTTAGCTTGAGGTGTGTGTCAGTCAGGTATGTAATAATACAGACACAGGGTCTCTGTCACTGTAAAGACCTGGTTACCTCATCTCTGTCTGCCTCTCCTGATCCTGTCTTCTGATTGGTCAGCAGATCAAACAGGATCAGCGAGCCTGTAGGGGAACGTGAGGTAATTCAGTAAAAGGTCATAGGTCAAGATAGGCCAATCCTGTTTAAGATGTACAATTCCTACAGGTGGTATGTTTCCTAGACACATGCATCATTTTATTGAATTGTAATTAAAGTGGTTGTCAAATCATATTTTGAGGAGGACAGTTGACAAACTCTGTGTGTATCTATAAAGCCATAGAAATAAATCCCTTACCAAGAATGTGTTTACGTGTGTGTGTGCAGGGTTCTACACCAACTTTTTCAGTTCGTGGCACCAGCACATGATTTGGTCGCACCAATTTATTTTATAAAAAAATTGATATAATTGATAACAACCTGGCCTGTGTGCATAATGTGCCTGCATTTAAATGTTATGCCCTTGTGTTCTTACAGCAAAGAAAAGAGACTTAAAATAAAGTACAAAATGTATTTACTGCAGATTTCAAAGTGCCATGTGTTCTTTTCTGCTAAAATCCTCTAGAGGGCAGAATGTGAAAAAACGACACTTGATACATAAATGATACCACTGCAAAAAATAAAAAATTTAAAAAACCGGGAGAAGGACTGATTTCCCTAAGTTCCTTTTAGGTTTCTGCTCTCAAAAATCACACTTTTTAAAAAAGAAAATTGGATGTTCTAAGTCCACAACAATGCTTAAACCACATCAAGGAACAATTTGAGGTCTGTGAAAAATCTGAGAAATGTATATATTTTTTGTGTAGACAACCTTTAATTCAGGTGTGCAACCAGCCAGACTGTTGTGTTTGGCTAGCGGTGTTTCTGTAGCACACTTATGATGGAGTTTTCAAAACAAATGGCCACTTCATTGATGCAAATAATCATGATTCTGCCAGGTAGGCTACTTTGTAGTTACCTTTTATTTCCTTTCCATCTACCCGAAAAAAGGTTAGGCTATCATTAGCGTCGCCATTAAGGCTACACAAAGTGGTAGAAATATACAGGACATAGGCTAGTAGCTAGTCAGTCTTGCCATTTGAGATGTTGAAGAGATATTGAGGGGTTACTGTATCATGCTTTGAAACGAAAAAGCGGCCAAAAACCGGGTTGTTTTTGTAATGGAACACTTTGTAAGGAAAACCAAGTTGAAGCCAGCATTCGATGTTGTCTTGCTCATAATAACCACAGTTTTAACGCAACAGACTAGCGCAACACCCTTCATTTAAAACAGCGGGAAACAAACGAAAGTGCCTTCATCTCTCATAAAAACTGATCAGAAATGAAATCACTGAATAATTATAATGGAGCAGAATAACTTTTAAATTGGCTTCAATGACCTTTCAAGGACCAAAGAGCCTAGACTAGAGAAATGTCTGATTTTCAAGGTAGGCTATTCCATTATGAGTAAATTGTGCATGCAAATATTCAACCAAGACTGAACTTTTTAAATACCTGGTTTGCATACCCATTCTTGCCTTAGCATATATTGGTAGATACTGTATCATAACTTGGAACATCTTTCGCAACCTTACCGCTGTCGATCTTTCCTCCACGCAACAACCAGCTGTGTGCTCTCTCTGCCTGACAAACTATCTATAGCAGGAATGGGCAACTTTGATGGGGTGGACCCCACAAAAAAAAAGGAACTCATGAGGGGCCACAGTGGCTCGTGGGTCTGCGCACCCCCCCCCATTTTTGTTTTAAAGTTAATTTTCTGTAATTCTGCACATTTTAACATGGGCCGTAGAAAAAACTGTTGCCGTTATAAAGCAAGATTGCTGCAATTCTACTCATTTTGCCATGGGGCAGAGAGAATAATTAGCAAGTTTACAGCTAATTTCCAGCAATTCTACACATTTGGCAATAGGATGGAGGCAAATGTTTGCAGTTTTTAATATGATAACTGATGATCAATGGGCCCCACCACGGTCGGTATTTCGACCATGTTTACTACAAGTTTAGATAGCTGGCCGCTAGACTAATTTACCAATCCAAAAACATTTTGCTGACATGGGCTAATTGAGTGACTGCTGATGCACAACCAAATTTCTAAATTGCACCTTCTAACTCTCAACAGTAAGTGGAGACCACGACTGAGTTCCTAATTTTTTTTTTAACATAAACACATACAGTGAGGGAAAAAAGTATTTGATCCCCTGCTGATTTTGTACGTTTGCCCACTGACAAAGAAATGATCAGTCTATAATTTTGATGGTAGGTTTATTTGAACAGTGAGAGACTGAATAACAAAAAAAATCCAGAAAAACGCATGTCAAAAATGTTATAAATTGATTTGCATTTAAATGAGGGAAATAAGTATTTGACCCCTCTGCAAAACATGACTTAGTACTTGGTGGTAAAACCCTTGTTGGCAATCACAGAGGTCAGACGTTTCTTGTAGTTGGCCACCAGGTTTGCATACATCTCAGGAGGGATTTTGTCCCACTCCTCTTTGCAGATCTTCTCCAAGTCATTAAGGTTTCGAGGCTGACGTTTGGTAACTCGAACCTTCTGCTCCCTTCACAGATTTTCTATGGGCTAGGCCACTCCAGGACCTTAATGTGCTTCTTCTTGAGCCACTCCTTTGTTGCCTTGGCCGTGTGTTTTGGGTCATTGTCATGCTGGAATACCCATCCACAACCCATTTTCAATGCCCTGGCTGAGGGAAGGAGGTTCTCACCCATGATTTGATGGTACATGGCCCCGTCCATCGTCCCTTTGATGCGGTGAAGTTGTCCTGTCCCCTTAGCAAAAAAACACCCCCAAAGCATAATGTTTCCACCTCCATGTTTGACGGTGGGGATGGTGTTCTTGGGGTCGTAGGCAGCATTCCTCCTCCTCCAAACACGGCGAGTTGAGTTGATGCCAAAGAGCTCCATTTTGGTCTCATCTGACCACAACACTTTTACCCAGTTCTCCTCTGAATCATTCAGATGTTCATTGGCAAACATCAGACGGGCATGTATATGTACTTTCTTGAGCAGGGGGACCTTGCGGGCGCTGCAGGATTTCAGTCCTTCACGGCGTAGTGTGTTACCAATTGTTTTCTTGGTGACTATGGTCCCAGCTGCCTTGAGATCATTGACAAGATCCTCCCGTGTAGTTCTGGGCTGATTCCTCACCGTTCTCACGATCATTGCAACTCCACGAGGTGAGATCTTGCATGGAGCCCCAGGCCGAGGGAAATTGACAGTTCTTTTGTGTTTCTTCCATTTGCGAATAGTCGCACCAACTGTTGTCACCTTCTCACCAAGCTGCTTAGCGATGGTCTTGCAGCCCATTCCAGTCTTGTGTAGGTCTACAATCTTGTCCCTGACATCCTTGGAGAGCTCTTTGGTCTTGGCCATGGTGGAGAGTTTGGAATCTGATTGATTGATTGCTTCTGTGGACAGGTGTCTTTTATACAGGTAACAAGCTGAGATTAGGAGCACTCCCTTTTAAGAGTGTGCTCCTAATCTCAGCTCGTTACCTGTATAAAAGACACCTGAGAGCCAGAAATCTTTCTGATTGAGAGGGGGTCAAATACTTATTTCCCTCATTAAAATGCAACTCAATTTATAAAATTTTTGACATGCGTTTTTCTGGATTTTTTTGTTGTTATTCAGTCTCTCACTGTTAAAATGATAGACTGATCATTTCTTTGTCAGTGGGCAAACGTACAAAATCAGCAGGGGATTCAATACTTTTTTCCCTCACTGTACATACATACATACATACATACATACATACATACATACACAGACTACCAGTCAAAAGTTTGGACACACCTACTCATTCAAGGGTTTTTCTTTATTTTTACTATTTTGTACATTGTAAAATAATAGTGAAGACATCAAAACTACGAAATAACACATGGAATCATGTAGTAACCAAAAAAAGTGTTAAACAAATCAAAAGTATATTTTATATTTGACATTCTTCAAAATAGCCACCCTTTGCCTTGATGACAGCTTTGCACACTCTTGGCATTCTCTCAACCAGCTTCATGAGGTAGTCACCTTGAATGCATTTCAATTAACAGGTGTGCCTTCTTAAAAGTTAATTTGTGGAATTTCTTAATGCGTTTGAGCCAATCAGTTGTGTTGTGACAAGGTAGGAGGCACTCACTAACTGTAAGTCGCTCTGGATAAGAGCGTCTGATAAATGACTCAAATGTAAAATGTATACAGAAGATAGCCCTATTTGGTAAAATAACAAGTCCATATTATGGCCAGAACATCTCAAATAAGCAAAGAGAAACGACAGTCCATGATTACTTTAAGACAGGATGGTCAGTCAATATGGAACATTTCAAGAACTTTGAACGTTTCTTCAAGTGCAGTCGCAAAAACCATCAAGCACTATGATGAAACTGGCTCTCATGAGGACAACCACAGGAATGGAAGACCCAGAGTTACCTCTGCTGCAGAGGATAAGTTCAAGAGTTACCAGCCTCAGAAATTGCAGCCCAAATAAATGCTTCACAGAGTTCAAGTCACAGACACATCTCAACATCAACTGTTCAGAGGGGACTGTGTGAATCAGGCCTTCATGGTCGAATTGCTGCAAAGAAACCACTACTAAAGGACACCAAATAAGAAGAAGAGACCTGCTTGGGCCAAGAAACACAAGCAATGAACATTAGACCGGTGGAAATTTGTCCTTTGGTCTGTAGTCCAAATTTGAGACTTTTGGTTCCAACCACCGTGTATTTGTGAGACGCAGTGTGGGTGAACGGATGATCTCTGCATGTGTATTTCCCTCCATAAAGCATGGAGGAGGAGGTCTTATGGTGTGGGGGTGCTTTGCTGGTGACACTGTCTGTGATTTATTTAGAATTGAAGGCACACTTAACCAGCATGGCCACCAAAGCATTCTGCAGCGATACTCCATCCCATCTGGTTTGGGCTTAGTGGGACTATCATTTGTTTTTCAACAGGACAATGACCCAATACACCTCCAGGCTGTGTAAAGGCTATTTTACCAAGAAGGAGAGTGCTGCATTAGATGACCTGGCCTCCACAATCCCCCGACCTCAACCCAATTGAGATGGTTTGGGATGAGTCGGACGGCAGAGTGAAGGAAAAGCAGCCAACAAGTGCTCAGCATATGTGGGAAGTCCTTCAAGACTGTTGGAAAAGCATTCCAGGTGAAGCTGGTTGAGAGAATGCCAAGAGTGTGCAAAGCTGTCATCAAGGCAAAGGGTGGCTACTTTGAAGAATCTCAAATATAAAATATATTTTGATTTGTTTAACACTTTTTTGGTTACTATATGATTCCATATGTGTTATTTCATTGTTTTCCTGTCTTCAATATTATTCTACAATGTACAAAATAGTAAAAATAAAGAATGATGGAATGAGTAGGTGTGTCCAAACTTTTGACTGGTACTAATATATACAGTGGGGAGAACAAGTATTTGATACACTGCCGATTTTGCAGGTTTTCCTACTTACAAAGCATGTAAAGGTCTGTAATTTTTATCATAGGTACACTTCAACTGTGAGAGACGGAATCTAAAACAAAAATCCAGAAAATCACATTGTATGACTTTTAAGTAATTAATTTGCATTTCATTGCATGACATAAGTATTTGATACATCAGAAAAGCAGAACTTAATATTTGGTACAGAAACCTTTGTTTGCAATTACAGAGATCATACGTTTCCTGTAGGTCTTGACCAGGTTTGCACACACTGCAGCAGGGATTTTGGCCCACTCCTCCATACAGACCTTCAGATGCTTCTTACGGAGCCACTCCTTAGTTGCCCTGGCTGTGTGTTTTGGGTCGTTGTCATGCTGGAAGACCCAGCTACGACCCATCTTCAATGCTCTTACTCACGATACATGGCCCCATCCATCCTCCCCTCAATACGGTGCAGTCGTCCTGTCCCCTTTGCAGAAAAGCATCCCCAAAGAATGATGTTTCCACCTCCATGCTTCACGGTTGGGATGGTGTTCTTGGGGTTCTACTCATCCTTCTTCTTCCTACAAACACGGCGAGTGGAGTTTAGACCAAAAAGCATTGGCAAACTTCAGACGGGCCTGGACATGCGCTGGCTTGAGCAGGGGGACCTTGCGTGCGCTGCAGGATTTTAATCCATGATGGCGTAGTGTGTTACTAATGGTTTTCTTTGAGACTGTGGTCCCAACTCTCTTCAGGTCATTGACCAGGTCCTGCCGTGTAGTTCTGGGCTGATCCCTCACCTTCCTCATGATCATTGATGCCCCACAAGGTGAGATCTTGCATGGAGCCCCAGACCGAGGGTGATTGACCGTGCTCTTGAACTTCTTCCATTTTCTAATAATTGCGCCAACAGTTGTTGCCTTCTCACCAAGCTGCTTGCCTATTGTCCTGTAGCCCATCCCAGCCTTGTGCAGGACTACAATTTTATCCCTGATGTCCTTACACAGCTCTCTGGTCTTGGCCATTGTGGAGAGGTTGGAGTCTGTTTGATTGAGTGTGTGGACAGGTGTCTTTTATACAGGTAACGAGTTCAAACAGGTGCAGTTAATACAGGTAATGAGTGGAGAACAGGAGGGCTTCTTAAAGAAAAACTAACAGGTCTGTGAAAGCCGGAATTCTTACTGGTTGGTAGGTGATCAAATACTTATGTCATGCAATAAAATGCAAATTAATTACTTAAAAATCATACAATGTGATTTTCTGGATTTTTGTTTTAGATTCCGTCTCTCACAGTTGAAGTGTACCTATGATAAAAATTACAGACCTCTACATGCTTTGTAAGTAGGAAAACCTGCAAAATCGGCAGTGTATCAAATACTTGTTCTCCCCACTGTATGTATGTATGTATATATATAGTATTCACACCCCTTAACTTTTTCCACATTTTGCTACGTTACAGCCTTAATCTAAAATAGATTCAATTAAAAAAATCCTCAGCAATCTACAATACCCCATAACGAGAAAGCAAAAACAGGTATTTAGAAATTTTGCAAATTTATCAAAAAATAAAAAACAGAAATACCTTATTTACATAAGTATTCAGACCCTTTGCTATGAGACTCAAAATTGAGCTCAGGTGCATCCTGTTCCCATTGATCATCCTTCAGATGTTTCTACAACTTGATTGGAGTCCACCTGTGGTAAATTAAATTGATTGGACATGATTTGGAAATGCACACACCTGTCTATATAAGGTCCTACAGTTGACAGTGCAAGTCAGAGCAAAAACTAAGCCATGAGGTCGAAGGAATTGTCCATAGAGCTCCGAGACAGGATTGTGTCGAGGCACAGATCTGGGGAAGGGTACCAAAACCTTTCTGCAGCATTGAAAGTCCCCAAGAACACAGTGGCCTCCATCATTCTTAAATGGAAGAAGTTTGGAACCACCAAGACACTTCCTAAAGCTGGCTGCCCGGCCAAACTGAGCAATCGGAGGAGAAGGGCCTTGGTCAGGGAGGCGACCAAGAACCCGATGGTCACTCTGACAGAGCTCTAGAGTTCCTCTGTGGAGATGGGAGAGCCTTCCAGAAGGACAACCATCTCTGCAGCACTCCACCAATCAGGCCTTTATGGTAGAGTGGCAAGATGGAAACCATTCCTCAGTAAAAGACACATGACAGCCTGCTTGGAGTTTGCCAAAAGGCACCTAAAGACTCTCAGACCACGAGAAACAAGATTCTCTGGTCTGATGAAACCAAGATTGAACTCTTTGGCCTGAATGCCAAGCATCACGTCTGGAGGAAACCTGGTACCATCCCTACGGTGAAGCATGGTGGTGGCAGCATCATGCTGTGGGGATGTTTTTCAGTGGCAGGGACTGGGAGACAAGTCAGGATCGAGGCAAAGATGAACAGAGCAAAGTACAGAGAGATCCTTGATGAAAATCTGCTCCAGAGCGCTCAGGACCTCAGACTGGGGCAACAGTTCACCTTCCAACAGGACAACGACCATAAGCACACAGCCAAGACAACGCAGGAGTGGCTTCGGGACAAGTCTCTGAATATCCTTAAGTGGCCCAGCCAGAGCCTGGACTTGAACCCGATCGAACATCTCTGGAGAGACCTGAAAACAGCTGTGCAGCAACGCTCCCCATCCAACCTGACAGAGCTTGAGAGGATCTGCAGAGAAGAATGGGTGAAACTCCCCAAATACAGGTGTGCCAAGTTTGTACCGTCATACCCAAGAAGACTCAAGGCTGCAAAAGGTCCTTCAACAAAGTACTGAGTAAAGGGTCTGAATACTTACGTAAATGTGATATTTCAGTTCTTTTTTTATAAATTAGCAAAAATGTCTAAAAACCTGTTTTTGCTTTGTCATTATGGGGTATTGTGTGTAGATTGATGAAGGAAAAAAACAACTTAATCAATTTTAGTATAAGGCTGTAACCTAACAAAATGTGGAAAAAGTCAAGGGGTCTGAATACTTTCCGAAGGCACTGTATTTCTATATCTTTTTTTTATTTTTATATATTGGTCCGCGGGCCTACAAAAGGGGGGCCAAGGCCGCCAGTTGCCCATCCCTGATCTATAGGCTATACATGTGATAAATAATCAACATAACGAACGAACAGCTTCGAGAATCCTAATAGTTTTTAATCAATTATATAGCCTAGATTAAAAATAGCATTATTACAATAGTTTTTACACTGGCCCAAGCGGGCACTGACACACACACACAGGGGCATTCCTGTACCGTTGTTGCCTCTTCAGAAAGTTGGTTTATTTTTGGTCAATGGCACATTACGGTTTGAATAAATCATGATGATAAAAATATATAGATAATGTGACCAGGTAAAACAATTTCACTGACACCCTGGCAACCAATTTTTTAAAAATGTGTGTTGCACTCCCAAGTCAAAATGGTTGCAAATGCTGTTTTGATCGCAGTATCGAATCCTGGTGTGTCCGTGTGTGTGTGTGTGTGTGTGTGCGTGTCTCACCCAGGCTGTGTCCAACCACAGACACTGCCCCAGTGAACTCTGGGTGTCTGTGTTTGAACAGTGAGTGGAGCTTGTTAACCTCGGAGGCCACTGTGTCCACTATGGTCTGGCAGTAGGTAGGACTGTTGTAGAAAAACAGGTCGAGCAGAGTGTCATTGGTGAAATGTCTCAGACGACTGATACTGGGGAGAGTGATCCTCTGGATGTCCCTGAGAGATAGGGGAGAGAGAGAGAAGGGAAGGAGAGGGAAGAGAGAGGGGAGAGAGAAGGGGGGTGAGGGGGAGAGAGAAGGGTAGAGAGGGGGGTGAGAGGAGGAGAAGGGGGAGTGAGAGGAGAGGGGTAGACAGCGATAGAGAGAGAAAGAGATGAGTAAATGCAGTATTAGATACTGGTTGACTAGACTGAGGTTGCTTATCTCTCTGTGTGTGTGTGTGTATGCGTGTGTGTGTGTGTGTGTGTGTGTATGCGTGCATGTTCTTACTCGTCTACTCCAGTGGCGTCTCCGTGTAGTGCGCTGTGCCAGTTGACAGGTAGGAACTCCACTCTGCCCACCCTGCCCTCCTCCTGGCCTCTCCTGTAATGGCTCCCCAGCAGGGACAGGGACGCACTCCTAAAGTCATTCACTACACACACACACACACACAGAGAGAGAGACTGTTAACACACACACACAGAGATACCGTTAACACACACACACAGTTGACACACACACGCACTCACAAACACATGGCCCGACAGCCACAAACACAGTCAAACACATGCATTGACACACACACACACACAGTCAAACAGGCACAGACACACACACTCACCACATTGTATGATAGATCTGAAGCGAATGTCACAGGCGGGGCCGATGCCGTGAACCATGAACACCAGGTGATCTATTGTCTCTGGCTCACCTGGATAACACACACAGGCCTTCAGTAGAGCAGGACACATGTCTCACACACATGCAGATTATAAACTCGCACACACACACCTAAAAAGGTGTTTAATAATGTAGGACACAGATATACTGGAGGTAATCCATTATACTAAATGGCTTTGAGACTGACCAGAGGGCAAACAGCAAATATATCTCTCACACACACACACCGTCAGGTATCTCTGCTGTGATGTTGTCGACACCCCTCTTGACAGTACGTGGGCGAGTCTGCTCCGAGGGAGAGGAGACCCACTCGTCCTGCAACGCGATTGGCTGGTACTGCATGATCAACTGACCATGGAAGGAGGGTTAGGGGTGGAGAAAGAAAAAGAGCGAGTAAATACAGATAGAGGGGGAGAGGGTGCAGATACTAAAGACATTACACCCCATAACTAATGCATCCAAACTTAGCATAGCATCGGTCAGTCCCATTAGTGTAGCAAAGAGGTGAGGTGCGGTCAGCGTTCTTACTTTAGGGTTGTGCAGGATGACTGTCTCTCCTGAAGGAAACTCCAGCTTCCTTTTCCACTCATCTAGAGTCACTGCTATCATATAGGCATCCTGACAGACAGACAGACAGGGAGGAGGGGGCGGGGGGATTACAAGCCAGAATTAAGAGAATAAAAAAATGTGTAGGACAATTTAGTAGCGCTGTAATAATATTGTAGTTATGTACTATTGTTGTTGTAATGGTGTATTAGTGTTGTAGTAATGTTGATTACGTTGTAGCAATGTTGTACCGATGGTGTAATAATGGGGGTACTAATGTTGACATGATGCTGTAATAACATTGTAGTGATGTTACAGCTCTGCCAGGGTAACGTTGGTGTCTTACCTCCAGGTTGGTGCTGAACTCCTCAGGGTAGGGCATGTATCTGGCATCTTTATCGCCTTTATAGAACCAGGTACAGCGTCGCACCTCTGACGGGCCCTGCTCCCAGTACACCGCATACCTCTGACGCTCCCGAACACGCACGTCATATCTCTCCCCTTCTACTGCCACCACCACCTCCTCCTCCTCTCCTCCTAAACACACACACACACACACACACACACACACACACAGAACACACACAAATATTCAGATGAAACGGATAAAGAGACCATGTGAGTGTGTAGCCTATTCCTCTCATTTCTGCCAGCCGCAGGGACTGACCCAGTGGGCAGCAGACCAGAGAGGACTGTTATGGTGATAACTATCTGACAGTTGTTCAACACACATTCTCTCTCTACCTCCTTCTGCTGCCCTCCCTCTCTCTAGTTCCCCTCTCCATCTCACCGGTAGACAAGGCCTGTTCCAGTCTCTCCGAGTCCTTTCTGCTGAAAGGGAGCCACACATCCTTGGAGTCGGCATGGCGACAGTAGAACCAATGGGGTTGCACGGGCTGGTACAGGGGCGGAGCTGGCTCCATGTCAACCAACTCGAAGGAGGAAGTGGAGGAAGGGGAGGTCTCGTCCACCACGCCAGACACCTGCAGGGGTGACATCATCATCATACTGATACCTGGGGTGTAATGGTGCTTTCAAGACAACTCAGAAACTCTGAACCTACAAGTGAAAATGTGCATACCTTTTTTGATTAGGGCTTCATATTGGTCGACTCTGATACTTTCCAAGTGGGAAATTCAGAGCTCATCTTTCTACAACGAGTTTCCAAGTCAGAAATGTCCAATTTTCCGAGTTGTCTTGAACGCGACATAACTAACTGAGTAGAATTCTGTATTTACACATGCACATACAGTAAGAAGCAACACTGGAGAAACAAAGGTCTAAATAACACTAAGCTCTGAAAAACCCTGCAGCTACAGTAGCACCCACCTGATTAGTTAGTCCTCATTCACCTTCACTGGAAAAATCTACTTTAAGACCCCTATAACCAGGAGGTCTCTGTAGAGATCCATGGGTGCTATTCTAGGGAGGTAGTAACGTCACAACCCCTGACGTAGTTCGACCTACCTTCCCCTCCACACAGCACAGTCTCTCCACAATCACACCATTCTACAGTTACAGCCAGGAGCTTCAATAATTAAAACAGCAGCCAAGCAGGGCGTCGGTTGTCCCTTTTTCCTGTAGCTCCCACTGATCACTGATCCTCAGGAGACGAGCAGAGACGAGACCAGGACAGGCGAGGAGAGCACAGCGTAACGGACCTCTCCCGGGCTAAACAAAGCTCTGCTTTATTCTCTCTACCGCAGCAAGCATCTCCTCTCTCCCTCGCCTTTCCTCTGTTCCTCTCTTATTTCCTCTTCACTCTTCCCCACTATTTGCCTATTTTCTCCTCTACTCACAGCTAACCTGGGCCCTAACTCAGCCCCAGAGTGTGAAAGAACAGCACAAAGGCTGGATCTCTCTGTACCTCTGGAAGGGAGATTGACATCCTCACTTCACGTGCTGTGCTAGAATTCTGTACGCAAAAGGACATTCTGCAACAGTGTTTCCACAGCCAAAACGTTCAACTCCGAGTTGCGAAATAAAAACTCTGATTTGTGCTGGTTAAACCTTCTGTTGCCTGGGCAATCATTTTATTCCTGTGACACCAATGCAGATTTTACACAACTTAACCATGACATTGCTCTTCTAAACAGATTCCGTAATGTGGCTTTAGGAATGAACCAGGAATGTTTATGGAAGGCACTTCCTGTTAGCTACCCAAACAGGAAGTCTCCTTCGCCTCGCAACAGAGTTTCTAACCAAACTAATAATGACCTGTATCCGTTCACACAAATTGGCTTTTGCCAATCATGACAATGCTTTTGAATAGACCTACACTATAAAAGTGTCAACTGTATGACTACCCCTCCCTTCCTAACCTCTGTTGTGTGTGTGTGTGTTGGCAGTTGGCACAGGCCCTAAGGTGACTGCAGGACATACCGTTCTTATTGTAACATTAGCTCTGTGGGGCAGGAGAATGTAACAGTTGACTTTGAGCAAGGGGACCAAAGCACACACACACTAGAGCAGGGGGACTAGTGGAGGGGGCAGTGTTGTAAGAGGCTGGGGAGGAACCTAGTAGTGACTGACGTTAGTCAACAAGTGTTTACTGACAGGACAAGCTGCCTTATAAGGCCTCTGCTATAGAAGTGTTATGGGAGGGTTTTGCCTTTCAGAATCTGTTTTACATCAGCCAAGTCTGGAAAGTTCCTGGCAAAGTCTCAAGCCTGTATTTGTGGTTATGGACTATTATGGGATTTCTACTGGGTTATTGGAGAGTGACAGTGGAGCCTGTTAACAATGACTAACAATGGATATTGGACCCTCTCCCCACACACACACAGGTAATTGATCATGACTTGACACTTCCGGTGCAGCTGAGACACACACCAGGGTTGGGCTCAATTCAGAATTTTGGAATTGACTCCCATTCAACTCATGAGTTGAAATTCGAATTGAATTGGCCAGACCCCACAGGATGCAGAATTTGAGAGTTTCATTTAATCTGACAGGTCACACTTCCAGATATCAAAGAAACAATGGAAACAATGTTTATATACTCTTTTAACCATAGTGCTTAGAATAGCCAATTATATTTCCACCAACCATTTCATTTGTTTGGCTTCTTTTTGAAGGCCTCAGGGTCAACTTGAGGGTTAAACTAATGCATTCTGGGAAATGTAGTACTTAAGCCCATATTGAACAAAATGTAAGTGATTAATTAAATATAATAACTTAGAATATTCACATACAGGTTCTGTTTTCCTTGATCATTAATTTCAAGAGTTTGTCCTGAAAATCAACTGTTCAACAATATTTTATATGCATGTATACAACAACGTTTGTTGTTTTATTTTCAAGATGTATATTTGTATAGACTACACCTAATATAGAATAGAAGAGGCATTTGAATTTCATTGAATTTTACATTTTAGTCATTTAGCAGACGCTCTTATCCAGAGCGACTTATAGTTAGTGAGTGCATACATTTTCATACTGGCCCCCCGTGGGAAACGAACCCACAACCCTGAATTTAACTGAATTCAATTATATTTCCTTCTAATTCAAATTACAATTCTATATTCTGTTTACTACAATTAAAATGTAATTAAAATTCAAGAATTACATTGGAATTCATGAAGCATTCAATTCAAACCTGAATTGTGCCCAACCCTGACACACACACACACACACACACATTACTGATCATTCCTTCACAGAACAGTACACACACAAACTCACCTGCTCCACAGGCGTGTTCCCATCCAGAAGTGTGTGTGCAGGTGTGATCCTGTCCAGAGGTGTGTGTGCAGGTCTGTGTGACAGGTCCTGAACAGTGATGGTGGGGGGGGCAGGCTGAGACAGCCCCCCCTCTGGCCCCAGGCCCTCTGACATCACCCGTATCCCTCAGGCCTACAGAGAGAGAGAGAGTTGGGCGCAGAGGCACCTGTCCCAGATGTATTGTCTGTGTGATGCTCTGTGCCAGGCTAGGAGCCAGATCTGTGGTACTGTAGCTAACTGAGGACCTGAAATAGAAATAATAACAACAAAACAACCATGTTAGCTAATCTCTGAGCACTAGCTAGAGATACACAAGAGAGTAACGGTATTATTACCCATGCATGGTATCTCTGTTTTAGATTAGATCCGCAATAGTCCAAATGATGACGGAATAGTGCTGGTTCTTTATTATTTTGGCAGCGCGTTAACGTTTGAGGTTTCTCTTGTAGGACGGAAAGAGAAGAGCTGTCAGGAGCACAGCAAACATTATTGGCATGTACTAGAGTCTCATGATGGTGATGGCGAGCGAGCTAGCTAGCCGGGTGGCTGACTGGCGTATGCAAGATGGTCTTTATTAATTAACTAGCTAGTTAAATAAAGACCATCTGGCATACGCCAGTCAGCCACCCATCCGGCATAGCTTGCTTAGCCTGGCTGCAGGTTTAGCTATTATCGCTAGAGTAGATATCCTTGGTTACTAGCTAACTAGTACCTACATGAACACCACACTCCTAGCTATAACGGATTTGCCTCAGTCAATGCAGTGCCAGTAGCTAGCTAGACAGGACGGAGAAGGCAGTCAGAAAACAACATGAACTGACCTGCTGCTGCTGTCCTATGTGGTCGGGCAGCCGGTCGGGGCACTCACATAGCTCGTCTAATGTTATCACATTACAGACGTGGCAAACTAACCACGGTTGCCAAATCAATAAAACTATGTAGCAACAGTCGAAGCCATCAACAGCTAGCTAGCTATCAGATTACCAAGAGTATGCGGCCATCTCTCGATTGTGTAGTTGTAGAGCCTGTCCTGTCACTACTGGCGATGTCCCTGACCCCAAACATTAACCTGGCGTCATCAGTCAGTCAAGAGGTGAGAGGTCACTTGTGAGGGTATGGAATTTATATAGCTCAATGGAATTTACTAAGTCAGCCTACATGAACGAAAACGTAACCAAAGACAGTACAGTATGAAGATAGGCTAAAACTGCTTCTCCAATAGAAATCCACCGATCACACTTTGTAGGCGATGTCATGGCGACGTTGGCTAGCTGGTGCTTTCAAGACAACTGCGAGTCGGAAAAAAACGAGGTCAAATCATGACGTCAGTGATCTTAAATTCGGAAAGTTGGACCGCTAGAAAGAGGACCGAGTTCTCGACTTGGAATTCCGAGTTGGATGACCGTTCAAAACGATTTTTCCCATTCGGTGCTCGTGTTTTTCCCGAGTTCCCAGTGGTCTTGAACGCACTGAAGTCGGAAGTCGGACGTTTTCGAGTTCCGATCTTCCAGTTGTTTTGAACGCAGCTCATGCATAGAAACACGTCATCGGGTCTAACGGTCGTCTAGCGCCGAACTGCGCATGTGCATGCTGTCAAATAAAACGCACTCCCTCGCTATAAAGTTGTTTTTGACGAAAATTAAAACGTGTCAGTTTCACTATGACGAGGTTGGATATTTAACACCCTTACGAAAAAGATTGCAGTCAGAGTGCAGTATAACTGCAGTTAGAGTGCATTATAACTGCAGTATGCTGCAAATAATACGTCCAAAATTACACGTTTTTTTAACTGTACTAATTTTGCAGTGTAACTGCAGTTAGAGTGCCATATAACTGCAGGTCAACTGCTGCAGTTATTCTGCAATTACTGCGTCCAAAATACCACAGTCGACTGCAGTTACTGCACTTTTACTGCAGTTTCAAAACTGCAATCTTTTTTTGTAAGAGCATGTTGAACTACTTAAGACGTTGGCTCGAATCTAAGTTGTGCCTTTTGATTTCGAGAATTTAACAACTAAGGAATAATTTTTCACTTCCCTCATTGACTTCTCAAACCCCAAACCAATGATGTACAGTATTTCAACACATACAACGTACGGTGTTATTTTTACTTTTTTTAAGCAAAGTATAAGGGTGTTATACTCCAGTCTAGTAGGTGGCGGTAATGCAACATTTATTGGATGCCAACCGCCGTTAAACCTCATCGAATAAGAATTTCTGCAGCACACGTGGGGACTGTTTTGAAAGTGGCGAAAGCGTAGGCCCCTTTGCTTCCGGTGTAATTATGTCAACCGGAAGTACTTGGGATTTTGTGTTGTTACGATGCTAGCAGGTGAAACATTTCTGTACAAATTGTCCATATTTGCTTTCATTGATAGGTGCAACAACTGAACAATCACGTAAGCATTTAAGTTCAAATTGATTTATTTCCTAGCAATGTAAATCGAACTGGTCCCTCCAACGACGCCGTAGTAGCACAATGGTTAGCCCTGATAGCGAGCTAGCTGGTTAGCTAACTTTTAGTTAGCTAGGATTAATGAGCCAACTAAATAGCTATATTCTGCATGCTAACAGGACCCTGTCGCTTCAATTGTTTAGCCATAAAGCTATAGACAGACAAATCTCTAGACCACCATACATGTGACCATACTTTCTAAACATCCATAAGTGGATGTGACTGTTTGATTTCTAGGGGAACTATTCATCTGCGATAACTTTAATTACTGTCAGTGAATGTTAACGCTCTTCCTCTCAGAGGCCCAGCCATGTCTATGTCCCATCTGTACGGACGGCAGGGAGAGGAGGAAGAGGAGGGGGTGGAGGTGGAGAAGTTTGAGGTGACAGAATGGGACCTGGCCAACGAGTTTAACCCGGAGCGCCGTAGACACAGACAGACCAAAGAAGAGGCCGTCTATGGCATCTGGGCAGAGAGGGGTGACTCCGACGATGAGAGACCCAGCTTCGGAGGGAAGCGGTAGGAGGCTGGTTCCTGTACACTCTCATCTGATAACATGCAGATGACTGAACTACAGACACATATTCAGAAAGAGGGGAGGGTGGCAGAGATGGATCTCACAATCTCGTGGTCTTCATTGGGTCTGTGTCTACTCTCTTTATACCAGGTCTAAGGACTACTCTGCCCCGGTGAATTTTGTGAGTGCGGGGCTGCGTAAGTCTGCAGCAGAGGACAAGCAACAGCAGCAGAGTGGTGGAGGGTCAGACGACTCTGACAATGACAACACCCCCCCTGCGCCACCCCGCGACACCGCACCGAAGAAACTGCAGACGGTACGTGTGTGTGTTTTAAGGGACCCTGAAGGAGCATTAGGTTCAGTGACTCAAAGGTTCAACACAGAATCACATATTAATGACAGATGGAATTATTAGGATGACTGATTTTGGTTCTCTCTCTCTCTCTCCTCTTCTGTCTGTTCTCTCCAGGGTGGTCAATTTCCGTGGCAACAGCCAGTCCCAGAGGACTGGATTTGCGGCTGGTATCCGGGCTGGAGGAGACATGGGCACTTGGGAGAAACACACAAAGGGGATTGGCCAGAAACTCCTCCAGAAGATGGGCTACATACCAGGGAAAGGACTGGGGAAGAACGCACAGGGTGGGTATGGTGGGAGAGTAGAGGGAGCGAGAAAGAGAGGAGAGTAATGGAGGTAGAGAGAAGATTAGGGATAGATAGCGCATAGCCCTTCTGGTTTTTCTGTTTCAGGGAAAGGACTAACTTATGCTAAATTGTTAGGGGTAAAATGTCCCCTGTCTGACGCCTCTCTCCTCAGGTCTGACCTCTGAACTCTCTCTCCTCAGGTATTTTAAACCCCATCGAGGCAAAGCTTCGTAAGGGGAAAGGGGCAGTGGGTGCCTACGGCAACGAGAGAACCAAACAGTCACTACAGGACTTCCCTGTGGTTGACTCTGAGGAGGAGGAGGAGAAGGTAACACTCTCTTTCTGTCTCTCCCCAACCACATCAGGTGCCTCAATTATCAATAATGCATAGAAACTATTCTAAAATACTACTTATGAATGGAATTAAGACTGGTCATACGCATAGAAAAAGTGTGATTTATCAAACAATCCTACAAGCATCATACGCACACCGGTAAGAGATAACATTGATAAATACCAATTGTTCTCAGCCTTAGTGCTCACGCACAACCTTGGCTTTTTGCATTTCTAAACGCCCCTAAATAACCAAATATGGTCAATCATCCCTTTAAAGCCTGTGGGGAATATACAACGCTGTACCATGAAATACAATGGCGCAACCAAAAAAAGCTAATACATTATTACTTTTTTTGAGACTGAAATAGAGGTGCCAGTGTCAGAGATTGAGTACAACCAAAAGGTTTTATTTGGCTCGCTCAGTTGAGCTTGACCAGTAAAAATAAAAACATAGCTACAAAGAGAGGACCATTAGGACAATTTAAGTTGCTTTAGCAATGGCAAATATACTTCAAATGAGTAGACAACACTCACCAATAAGCCATCCATCCTCAACAGCTCCCTCCTGTAGGTGTATAGGCCAACATTGCTGTTCTGCAGAATGAACGAATCGTGCATTCCACCTAGCCACTTTTCCACCACATTCAGCAGCGTCTTTTGTGCATCACATAACTTATCACCAGCACATAAAGAGTGGAAGCCTTTTCTGTTCACATAGTTGAAATAGTTTTGGGATGATGATTTTTATGGCAATGTGGGTGCCATCTATTGCTCCATTCGTATTTGGGAACCCATTGATGGCATCATGGCAAAGAAACCCCTCTTGACTTCAACCTGTTGTGTGATGGTGTATGGAAATTGGCTCATCTAGGGCTGTGAGATGCCGATCGGCAAGCTCCCGATGAAAAATGCCTGTTGCCAAAAAAACTGAGGGTGGTTGGACTTGGATGTGCATCGGAATGACATGTGTTTGCCTTTTTAAAGTAGGTCTTAAATCCTCGCAAAAATCCTATAAGATTGGTTTTTAGAAGTGATATCTGATGAGCCAATCTACTTTCTGTAGAAAAAGGCCCATGTGTCTCTAAAAACGCGCTCTCTGCGAAATGCAGCATGTGCCAAATCTTCAACCCACAAGATCAGCCATCTCTCATTCAATTTCAAATGATCTTTTATAGTATTTTATAGTACTTTTATAGTATTTCAACAATGGCTTCACTTTCACAGTACCTCTCATTTAACAAATTACTGTACTTTACCAACCCCCCCCCCCCCCCCCCCCAAAGGCAATACTTTGTAGAGCCACCTTTTGCAGCAATTAAATGTTTCCCCTTAAACCACTCGTGTTGCTTTAGCAATATGCTTAGGGTCATTGTCCTGCTGGAAGGTGAACCTCCGCCCCAGTCTCAATTCTCTGGAAGACTGAAACAGGTTTCCCTCAAGAATTTCCCTTTATTTAGCGCCATCCATCATTCCTTCAATTCTGACCAGTTTCCCAGTCCCTGCCGATGAAAAACATCCCCACAGCATGATGCTGCCACCACCATGCTTCACTGTGGGGATGGTGTTCTCGGGGTGATGAGAGGTGTTGCGTTTGCGCCAGACATAGCGTTTTCCTTGATGGCCAAAAAGCTCAATTTTAGTCTCATCTGACCAGAGTACCTTCTTCCATATGTTTGGGGAGTCTCCCACATGGCTTTTGGCGAACACCAAATGTGTTTGTTTATTTTTTTCTTTAAGCAATGGCTTTTTTCTGGCCACTCTTCCGTAAAGCCCAGCTCTGTGGAGTGTACGGCTTAAAATGGTCCTATGGACAGATACTCCAATCTCCACTGTGGAGCTTTGCAGCTCCTTCAGGGTTATCTTTGGTCACTTTGTTGCCTCTCTGATTAATGCCCTCCTTGCCTGGTCTGTGAGTTTTGGTGGGCGGCCGGTTTGTTGTGGTGCCATATTATTTCCATTTTTTAAATAATGGATTTAATGGTGCTCTGTGGGATGTTCAAATTTTCTGATATTTTTTTATAACCCAACCCTGATCTGTACTTCCCCACAACTTTGTCCCTGACCTGTTTGGAGAGCTCCTTGGTCTTCATGGTGCCGCTTGCTTGGTGGTGCCCCTTGTTTAGTGTTGTTGCAGACTCTGGGGCCTTTCAGAACAGGTATATACTGAGATCATGTGACACTTAGATTGCACACAGGTGGACTTTATTTAACTAATTATGTGACTTCTGAAGGTAATTGGTTGCACCAGATCTTATTTAGGGGCTTCATAGCAAAGGGGGTGAATATATACAGTGGGGGAAAAAAGTATTTAGTCAGCCACCAATTGTGCAAGTTCTCCCACTTAAAAAGATGAGAGGCCTGTAATTTTCATCATAGGTACACGTCAACTATGACAGACAAATTGAGGGGAAAAAATCCAGAAAATCACATTGTAGGATTTTTTAATGAATTTATTTGCAAATTATGGTGGAAAATAAGTATTTGGTCACCTACAAACAAGCAAGATTTCTGGCTCTCACAGACCTGTAACTTATTCTTTAAGAGGCTCCTCTGTCCTCCACTCGTTACCTGTATTAATGGCACCTGTTTGAACTTGTTATCAGTATAAAAGACATCTGTCCACAACCTCAAACAGTCACACTCCAAACTCCACTATGGCCAAGACCAAAGAGCTGTCAAAGGACACCAGAAACAAAATTGTAGACCTGCACCAGGCTGGGAAGACTGAATCTGCAATAGGTAAGCAGCTTGGTTTGAAGAAATCAACTGTGGGAGCAATTATTAGGAAATGGAAGACATACAAGACCACTGATAATCTCCCTCGATCTGGGGCTCCACGCAAGATCTCACCCCGTGGGGTCAAAATGATCACAAGAACGGTGAGCAAAAATCCCAGAACCACACAGGGGGACCTAGTGAATGACCTGCAGAGAGCTGGGACCAAAGTAACAAAGCCTACCATCAGTAACACACTACGCCGCCAGGGACTCAAATCCTGCAGTGCCAGACGTGTCCCCCTGCTTAAGCCAGTACATGTCCAGGCCCGTCTGAAGTTTGCTAGAGTGCATTTGGATGATCCAGAAGAGGATTGGGAGAATGTCATATGGTCAGATGAAACCAAAATATAACTTTTTGGTAAAAACTCAACTCGTCGTGTTTGGAGGACAAAGAATGCTGAGTTGCATCCAAAGAACACCATACCTACTGTGAAGCATGGGGGTGGAAACATCATGCTTTGGGGCTGTTTTTCTGCAAAGGGACCAGGACGACTGATCCGTGTAAAGGAAAGAATGAATAGGGCCATGTATCGTGAGATTTTGAGTGAAAACCTCCTTCCATCAGCAAGGGCATTGAAGATGAAACGTGGCTGGGTCTTTCAGCATGACAATGATCCCAAACACACCGCCCGGGCAACGAAGGAGTGGCTTCGTAAGAAGCATTTCAAGGTCCTGGAGTGGCCTAGCCAGTCTCCAGATCTCAACCCCATAGAAAATCTTTGGAGGGAGTTGAAAGTCCGTGTTGCCCAGCGACAGCCCCAAAACATCACTGCTCTAGAGGAAATCTGCATGGAGGAATGGGCCAAAATACCAGCAACAGTGTGTGAAAACCTTGTGAAGACTTACAGAAAACGTTTGACCTGTGTCATTGCCAACAAAGGGTATATAACAAAGTATTGAGAAACTTTTGTTATTGACCAAATACTTATTTTCCACCATAATTTGCAAATAAATTCATTAAAAAATCCTACAATGTGATTTTCTGGATTTTTTCCCCTCAATTTGTCTGTCATAGTTGACGTGTACCTATGATGAAAATTACAGGCCTCTCATCTTTTTAAGTGGGAGAACTTGCACAATTGGTGGCTGACTAAATACTTTTTCCCCCACTGTATGCACGCACCACTTTTCCATTATTTATTTTGTATAATTTTTTGAAAAGTTATTTTTTAAATTTCACTTCACCAATTTGGACTATTTTGTGTATGTCCATTACATGAAATCCAAATAAAAATCCATTTAAATTACAGGTTGTAATGCAACAAAATAGGAAAAACGCCAAGGGGGATGATTACTTTTGCAAGGCACTGTATTCAGGCACCTTGACCTTTTCCACATTTTGTTAGGTTACAGCCTTATTCTAAAATTTATAAATCGTTTTTTTCCTTCATCAATCTACACACTACCCCATAATGACAAAGCAAAAACAGGTTTTGATAAATGTTTGCTAATTTAAAAAAAAATATTAATACCAAAAATATCACATTTTACATAAGTATTCAGACCCTTTACTCAGTACTTTGTTGAAGCACCTTTGGCAGCGATTACAGCCTTGAGTCTTCTTGGGTATGATGCTACAAGTTTGGCACACCTGTATTTGGGGAGTATTTTGGCAAACTCCAAGCGGGCTGTCATGTGCCTTTTACTGAGGAGTGGCTTCCGTCTGGCCACTCTACCATAAAGGCCTGATTGGTGGAGTGCTGCAGAGATGGTTGTCCTTCTGGAAGGTTCTCTCATCTCCACAGAGGAACTGTGGAGCTCTGTCAGAGTGACCATCGGGTTCTTGGTCACCTCCCTGACCGAGGCCCTTCTCCCCCGATTGCTTAGTTTGGCTGGGTGGCCAGCTCTAGGAAGAGTCTTGGTGGTTCCAAACTTCTTCCTTTTAAGAATGATGGAGGTCACGGTGTTCTTGGGGACCTTAAATGCTGCAGAAATGTTTTGGTACCCTTCCCCAGATCTGTGCCTCGACACAATCCTGTCTTGGAGCTCTACGGACAATTCCTTCGACTTCATGACTTGGTTTTTGCTCTGACATGCACTGTCAACTGTGGGACCTTATATAGACAGGTGTGTGCCTTTCCAAATCATGTCCAATCAATTGAATTTACCACAGTTGGGCTCCAATCAAGTTGTAGAAACATCTCAAGGATCATCAATGGAAACAGGATGCACCTGAGCTTAATTCCGAGTCTTGTAGCAAAGGGTCTGAATACTTATAAAAGGTATTTACGTTTTTTATTTGTAAGAAATTTGACAAGAATTTCTAAAAACCTGTTTTCGCTTTGTCATTATGGGGTATTGTGTGATAAAAAAAATAAAAAAGTAATCCATTTTAGAATAAGACAAAATGTGGAAAAAGTAAAGGGGTCTGAATACTTTCCAAAGGTACTATTTTCCCCATTCTACATTTGACAAGCGGATCCCTTATTCCACCACTTGGCACTGTGCGCACGCATGGTCATGGCTGTGCGTCAATTTACACACACTCTCAAGCAAACGTTCATATTGATAAATCTCACACTTTGCGTGGAAATGATCCCACACATGGTTTACGCACAGATTTGTGTCTGGGTTAATGATGTATACCTTACCATACCTTCACCCCCCTTCTTTTTCTAGGAGTTCCAGAGGGAGCTAGGTCAGTGGCGTAGGGATCCTGTGGGTGGGGGAGGGAAGAAAAAACCTAAGTATTCCTACAGGACTGTAGAAGAGCTGAAGGCTAATGGCAAGCTGGCTGGACGGACCACACAGACACCCGCTGGAGAACTGGCTCAGGTCAAGGTGAGGGGGAACACGCGCACAAACACGCATAGTTGCACATTTAAGTATCCAGAAACAGATTTCAACATGTGAATTGCTGTTCTTCTCTCTCTCTAGGTGATAGATATGACAGGCAGGGAACAGAAGGTGTATTACAGCTACAGTCAGATGACTAACAAACTCAGTGTACCAGAGGAGGCTCCAATGAGCGTAGCCGCACGTGAGCAGAAGACGTCTGGCTTTGCCCTGCCAGAGCTGGAACACAACCTGCAACTACTGATCGACCTGACGGAACAAGACATACTACAGGTGACCTCTAACCCCTGACCCTTTAACCTCTTACAAGAAACAAGAACCTTTAACCCATTACCACACATCTCACCCATTACTATAACCCTATTTCCCGAGAGCTCAGAAACTCGTATAAACTAACAATATATTCCCATTTGTCTGTAGTCCTCGCGGCGTCTGCAGCATGAGCGTGACGTGGTGGTGACTCTGAGCCACGAGAGCTCCAGTCTGCAGACTAGGCTGGGGACGGAACGAGACGCCATCCAGAGGCTGGAAGCAGTACTGCAGCTGGTGGATCGCTTTCAGAGTGGAGAGACTGCACCTGGGGTGGGACCCAGCCTGCAGGTACATACACACACACACATTTGTGCTCTCTCAGGGCTTGTCATTGTTGAAGATGGAGAATAACAGTGGTCCCAGTATTGAACCTTGTGGTATACCCTTTTCTATGTTGTATTTTACTCCCTCTCTCTCGCTCTCTCTAGGAGTGTGCTGGTATCTTTGCGACCCTACAGAGTGATTTCTTTGAGGAGTATAAGACTCTAGGTTTGGGAGATCTGGCTGCTGCTGTAGTACATCCACTTATCAGAGAGAAACTACGCACATGGGACCCTCTCAAGGTACACACACACTCCCTTGCTCGCTCCACCTTCAGTTGTGGAAGCACCACCAAGTGCTAGAAACACTCACATGTATTCCTAGTTTCCTCCACTGACTCCTGCTGTTTGTGCTGTTTGTCTGTAGGATAGTTCATATGGTCTGGAGGAGGTGGGTCAGTGGCGAGCCATCCTGGAGTCTGGTCAGCTACACCACGCCAACGCCCCTGAAGCACACATGGACCCCTACCACAGGTAAGTCAATAGCATGTCACACCTCAGAGGTGTGTTTGTGTGTCCCCAGCGGGCAAGTGGCTAAAATATCAGAATGTCAAGCATTGTGTGTGTGTGTCTACAGGCTGCTGTGGGAGGTGTGGATCCCGGTGCTGCGAGTGTGTGTGTCGGGGTGGCAGCCTCGTATGGTAGGACCCATGGTGGACTGTGTGGAGGTCTGGGCCCCTCTGCTGCCCCTCTGGATACTAAACTACCTCCTGGAACAACTAATCTTCCCCAGGCTGCAGAGAGAGGTACAATCCCACAGACAAACATCAGCACTATACCAGTGATACAAATATGAAGACTCATGTCATGGTGCCAAGCTGTCTGTTGAAAAAAGGGATACACTTTTCAGAACTGCTCAGTGTCTGTTCTTTTCTACCCAGAACCCTAAACATCATGAACGCACCCTTTCTATCTCCACTAAACCAACCCCTTCTCTGTGATAGGTGGATAGCTGGAACCCCCTGACGGACACCGTGCCCATCCACTCCTGGCTCCACCCCTGGCTGCCTCTGCTCCAATCACGGCTGGAGCCTCTGTACCCACCCATCCGCAGTAAACTGGCCAATGCACTGCAGCGCTGGCACCCGAGTGACGGCTCTGCCCGCCTCATCCTCCAACCATGGAGAGACGTGTTCACGCCCGGTGCCTGGGAGGCCTTCATGGTTAAAAACATCATCCCTAAACTAGGTACACACACTAACCTTGTCCCCTAGAGCCAGCTGAATGACACCTCGCTGATTGCCTCAGAAAGGGACACTGAGGGTGCGTCCCAAATGGCACCTTCTTCCCTAATATTTTGTATTTTATTTAACCTTTATTTTAACAGGGAAGAAATTGAGACCTAGGTCTCTTTTACAAATGCGCCCTGTATATACAACATAAATATACACATTATACCCTCCAAAAAAACGAAATAAGTGTGTGTGTGTGTTCACACACACCCCCACATTAAAATACAAAATGCAAGTGCACTAGTTTTGACCAGCTCTGGTCATAAGTAGTGCACTATATAAAGGGAAAAGGGTGCCAAAATTAGGAAGCAGACAGATATTACTGCTTAGTAGAACAGTAGTTCCTTACTTCATGCTCTCCCTCCCCTCCTATAGCTCTGTGTCTGGGGGAGCTGTTAATAAATCCACACCAGCAGCAGATGGAGACGTTCAATTGGGTGTTGGACTGGGAGGGCATGCTGTCTCCCTCAAGCCTTGTATCACTGCTGGACAAACACTTCTTCCCTAAGTGGCTACAGGTATGTATGTGTGTGAGAAAGCACATAGGTTATACTTAACGATAATTGACTTACTCCTCATTTGTGATTACCTTTGCTGTTGTTTAGACCTAAAATAGTAGGATAAATGCAGAGATAACTGTTTTGTGTGTGTAGGTGCTGTGTTCGTGGCTCAGTAACAGTCCTAACTATGAGGAGATTACTAAGTGGTACCTGGGCTGGAAGTCCATGTTCAGTGATGCTGTTCTGGCTCAGCCACTCGTCAAGGACAAGTTCAATGAAGCTCTGGACATCATGAACCGCGCTGTCTCCTCTAGCCTAGGTTAGTATTATACACAGCACCAGACAACATGAACTGAGAAGTGACCTTTGAATAGGTTAGTATTTGGTATTTATTAGGATCCCTATTAGCCACTGCAAAAGCATCAGCTACTCTTCCTGGAGTCCACAGTATGAAACTCACCCTTCTTGTTCTCTTTCTGTAGGTGGGGGGTACATGCAGCCCGGTGCCCGTGAGAACATTGCTTACCTCACACACACAGAGCGTCGTAAGGACTTCCAGTACGAGGCTTTGCAGGAGCGCCGGGACGCTGAGAGCGTGGCGCAGCGTGGCATCGGTGCCAGCCTGCCCACCAACTTCAAAGACCTAATCCAGACCAAGGCTGAGGAAAACAACATCGTCTTCATGCCGCTGGTTGCCAAACGCCACGAGGGCAAACAGCTGTACACCTTTGGACGCATCATCATCTACATCGACAGAGGAGTGGTCTTTGTACAGGGAGAGAAGACCTGGGTCCCTACGTCCCTACAGAGTCTAATCGATATGGCCAAGTGATGGAGAAAGAGAGGAGAGTGGGATTGGAGAGGAGAGGGAGGGGGTGCAGGAAGAGGGAGTACAGAGAGCTGGAGATAAGTGCACTGCCTCCACCTTATCATTTGTTTGTAATAAGTGTTAGATATTCAGCTTGTGATCACTGGAATATGTCATTGGGAACCAGGAATAAATAATGTTTGGACTTTATTTTTACTTTAGAATCCTTTTTACCACTTTAGAATCCTTTTTTTATTGTAGACTCACCGCTGCAAGCCAAGAGTGGGAGTTTAAATAGTTAACTGAAAAATCCATAAGCATTTTTGCCTCCTGAAACCCTTGTGTATGCCTACCACTGTGGCACAAATTATATTTATACTGAACAAAAATATAAATGCAACATGTAAAGTGTTGGTTTCATGAGATGAAATAAAAGATCCCAGACATTTTCCATACACACAAAAAGCTTATTTCTGCAAATTTTAGATCCCTGTTAGTGAGCATTTCTCATTTTCCAAGATAATTCATCCACCTGTCAGGTGTGGCATATCAAGAAGCTGATTAAACAGCATGATCATTACAAAGGTGCACCTTGTGCTGGGGAGAATAAAAGGCCACTCTAAAATGTGCAGTTTTGTCACACAAATGTAACAACACAATGCCACAGATGTTTTGAGGGAGTGTGCAATTGGCGTGCTGACTGCAGGAATGTCCACCAGAGCACTTTCCACATAATTGAATGTTCATTTCTCTACCATAACCTGCCTTCAACATGGTTTTAGAGAATTTGGCAGTATGTCCAAACGGCCTCACTACCGCAGACCAAGTGTAACCACGCCAGCCCAGGACTTCCACATCAGACTTCTTCTACTGCGGGATCGTTTGAGACCAGTCACCCGGACAGCTGATGAAACTGAGGAGTATTTCTGTCTGTAATAAAGCCCTTTTGTGGGAAAAAATGTATTCTAATTGGCTGGGCCTGGCGCCCCAGTGGGTGGGCCTGGCAACCCAGTGGGTGGGCCTATGCCCAATCATGGCTGTGTCCCTGCCCAGTCATGTGAAATGCATAGATTAGGGCCTGCCCACTGATTTCCTTCTATGAACATTAACTCAGTAAAATCGTTGAAATTGTCGCATGTTGCCTGTATATTTTCGTTCAGTATAGACGAGAACAGACCGAGACAGTCGAGATACTGAACTCTCTGAGGTTCGGGCCTCCAGTACCCTAGGTGGCGGTATGCATCTCACCTCGCTAATCTACCTGCTGCCGCTACCACCAACGAAGAAGAATGTCGTTACCCATAGTGCTTTGCGTTGTAACTGGAAATAAAGTGTGTTTCGAACAACTTGTGCACGAGATTTACGGATAAATGAATGTTCTGTTTTAGTTTTTCGTATTTTATATCGTTTTGGTGAGTATGTGTGGTGCCTGTAATATTTGTTATCGCTAGTTGGTAGCTAGCTAGCTTGTGCATTTGCTGACTTTAGCTGGCTAGCTTGCCAACAACACCATCCTGGCTTGCCTAATAAATCAGACTTTTATATCAATATTTGATATACAGTTTGAAACATAGCATTGAAAAATCGTCGAAGTTTTCCTTAAACGACAGAATATAGAATAAAAGTACATTTGAACTCAATCGACCTCTTGTCTGTGCGGTTGCCCAACCGGCAACAAGATGGCGCTATTATGTATTTTACGTCGTTTGTCAATGTGCTCAGCCAGCAATACACTGGTGTCCCCCATCTACCGGCTCGTACATAAAACAGCCTACATTTTTTAACGGGCAAAATATGCGGACTGCCTTATAAAACATTTTTTGTGAATCTGTTGTTTACTGCTGGCTGAATGCATACCGCAACATCAGGAAGTATAATTTGCCACCCCAGCATGGTGGTGCAAAATTGTGTTTTATTAAGACAGATATTTCCACCGTTTTCTTTCACCGATGAGACATTACATTGAGTTAAGGAGGAAACCGATGCATTTGCAGCCTGACTGGAGAATGTTTTTTGTATGAGCCGGTCCATGCTGGACGAGAGTATATTACCTTCTGGGTTGCCTGGAAACCCGACATTGAATTGCATTGAATTCTACATCATGCAGAAATATGCGTTTGAATCAGGAAAGTTTACTCTCACTACCTGTACAAGCCAGAATGTTGAATACAATTTTATTTACACTTACTTTACCGGTTGGTCCTTTTGCAAGTAGGAATGCGAGACAATATATCAACAGGAAACAGGAAGTATAATTAAATCAACTTTTCATACTGCTGGTAGTGCATTCAGATGAAAATACACCCATGCATACTTGCCGAGCTCGTGCACACACGTAGACCCATGTTTTGAAGTCGGGTTAATAACACTGACCTGTGGATATTTTGTCTCGAATTTCGACCAACTGAACGACCAACACCACAGACAGAGTTCAAATGAAGTTTATTCAACATTCTGACTTGTAAAGGGACTGTTTGGAATTAAATATTTCAGTTGTGTATATTACTTATGACTTATTTTTAATTCCTTCAAGTCTTCATCTCAGCTCAGGCAGTTGCAGTCAGACAACCATATAACGTTCTTTGTTCTGTCTTTAGTCATCCTATTTTGCTAGGCTAGCCTGCCTAAATATGCCGCAGAGCTTTGACGAAATAATTTTACTCGTTTTTCAAAGTAGATAAGGCATACAAAAAAACGACCTAAATGGAATTCAAGTAATTGAACCGTCGTTAGTTGTTTAATAACTGCGGCATACTTAGGCAGGCTAGCCTAGCAAAATAGGATGACTAGACAGTACAGAGAACGTTAAATTGTTGTCTGACTGCAACTGCCTGAGATGAGATGAAGACTTTAAGGAATTAAAAATAATAGTCATAAGTAATATACACAACTGAAATATTTAATTATTTCATAGTAATTTCCTTTCTTTTGTATTGATTTCTACCCATTGTGGACCTGACAGAGACAATGGAATATTTTCAATGTTTTGGTAATTTAATATTTTTGCCTCAAATCTAACCGAAACCGAAGTGACCTCAAAAAGCAGTAATCGCTCAGCACTACTACCTAGCTAGATCATCTCAGTTACTGACTTTGACTTTGTTTTTAGCACAATCATATGGTCACTTATGATTGACATTGGTGGAACTTTGGTAACTAACTATTTATGTGAAATGCATTAGTAACATTTGCATGTTACTGGTCTGTTTCCATAAAAACAATTCTGCCTTTGTGTCCTAGACTAGTCTGACGTTGATCAGCCATGTCAGACGCCCTGAAGAAGCGCAAGTCGAAGGTGCTGCGCAGCGAGATGGGCACACCTGAGGGGAAACGCGGCCGCGGAGAAGGGGACCAGGTGAGCACTGCAGAGGAGATGAGAGGGGTGGACAGCATAAACAGTAGGGGTGAGGGGGTCAAGGTGAGAACTGTAGAGAGAGGAGAGGCAGATGAGTATAGAGAGGAGGGGAGGGAGCATGAATGAATTTGACTACTTTGTGTGTGTGTTTTCAGGACTTACCTGTGTACAGTGAAGAGGTGGAGCTGGATAGCAGGGACCCAGAGGAGGACTACCAGGAATATAAACTAACCTGTGAAGCTCTGGCCCAACTGATGAACGACATCCAGGAGCAGAAAGCCAACGGCGCCAAGGATGGGGTAAGAAACACACACACCAGGATTTTCGTTAGCTGGTAATTGCTGGCTTTTGGCCGATAAAAATAATGAAAAGCCGATAAATAAAATTGTAGCCAGCCAAATTGTCCGGGGCTGCCCATCATACACCCAGATTTCACGCTTCAGCACCATTCTCTCACTCCTTGGCATTGCCCACTGCCTTACGTGCATGCGCCTGCTGCTGAGGAGAGAGAGAGATGAGCCTTGGCCTAGGCTACTGTTGATTGTGAAGATGGAGGCCTTTTTCATTTAAGTAAAACGAAAGTTAGAGATTATGCCTATATTGAATAGCGTACAATGGTTGTGTCCTCCGTATGGACAAGTTTGAATATTATAGTGGTCAAAGATGAGAAATACATTGGCGGGGCCAAATGCAGAATACTGTGCAACTCTCTATTCAGGTAGGAACTTTTATTTATAAAACATTTGTATTTATAATCATTTTTTTATTACTGTATATCATTGTTGTTATTGTAGGCCTATTTATTAATATAAACCAGTTCTTTAAATATGCAAAACGTGTTTAGTTTAAGATGGGTTTTAAGTAGGCCTGTTGGGGGGGGGGGGGGGGGGGGGCTCCAGGCCGAGTTTGGGAAACCCTGGTTTAAAGGATCATTTAAAAAAACTGTGGTGCACATTATTGTTATACACTTAGCGTTCTATTTATCGTTGAAGCATAAATTCAGGCAATTTATCCAGACATGGATTTTTGTCCATATTGCCCTGCTCTACTTCGACAGTTAAAATTGAGGTGAGGAAGAATGTTTCAGGCCTACCAGAGTAACTCCTATAATTTACAATATAAAAAAAATATTATGATAGAAAATTAAAGCAGGAACCTCCTTCTGTACACCTATATCTGTATAGCAGACCGAAGCACCGCCGCAAAGCATTATATTGCGAATGCTGCAGAAGAAGCAAACTCCTTCATATGTGACTCTTTCGTCCTCGCACGCACACACGGCTGGCTGTTTAAACTGGTCTGAAAACAGCCTATACTATATCTTTGTCTATAAAAAATATGAGCTGCATGCAATTGAACAAGTCACAGGAAGCATGCACTCCTTTCGTTGCATTCCTTATAGAAATAATTAAACAGTGTTGGGCGGATTACTTGAAACATTTACTAGGCTAATCCATAAACCTACTAATACATTTATGAATAAATTAAAAAACGTGCACAATGCACATATTCAATAGCTTTAGAAGAAACCGAAAAAAGTTATTTTAACCTGGTATTAATTCATTTTCTATAGAATCTAATTATCAATAATAAATCTAGGCCTACGATATTTCATTAAAGTGGACTCCAACAGCGTATGTTGGATAGGAATTGCCTTTAGCAAGGCACTGCGGCTTGTTCTGGCCGATCCCCTCAAACTTGTCAGCAGCACACCGAATCTCTCCGTCGATTGGAGGAGTTTTAGGCTACTAATGATTGGCACCAATATGTGAAGTCTGACTGTAGCCTATTACCAGTTGCATTTCACGTTCATGTTGTCTACCCTTCCCTCCAGTGTACTGAGATAGAGGAGAAGAGGATGCAGAGCTGTATCCACTTTATGAGTCTGAAGAAACTCAACCGCCTGGCTCACATGAGACTGAAGAGGGGGAGAGACCAGACACACGAGGTACATATATGCACACTCTTTCACACGCACAATTCCCTCTACACACACACGGCAAAAGCAGTTATTAACTCCCCTCGCCTCTCTCCCACCTCCCTTGCCCTGTCTTCCTCCAGGGCAAGCAGAGAGTGGATGTGTTGCACCTGCAGCTCCAGAACCTGCTCTATGAGGTCATGCACCTGCAGAAGGAGATCAGCAAGTGTCTGGAGTTCAAGTCAGTACCACTTGGGGGGTTCTAATTCACATTTGCTCCAAGTCAGTAGGCCTATATCCAGGAATAAGAAGCTTAGAGTTTTGAGGCACAATGTCTAACGTTAATATTATCTTGTCCTCTGCGTGTTTGTGTGTGTCCAGGTCAAAGCATGAAGAGATAGATCTTGTGAGTGTAGATGAGTTCTACCAGGAGGCCCCCCCTGAGACATCCCGCAGCCCCCTCACCAAGGACGACACCCACCAACTCACACTGGCCAGGCTGGACTGGGAACTGGAGCAGAGAAAGAGGTACCACACACACACTGAGACAGTTGTGTTGTTCTGTAGGTTGGCTAAGCAGTACATGAACTCCCACTGTTCTGTGTGTGTGTAGGCTGGCTGAGCAGTACAAGGAGTCTCTGTCCAGTAAGGAGAAGATCCAGAAAGGCATTGAGGTTAAGAAGGAACACCTGAGTTCTCTACAGCCTGGACTCAACGCTATCATGCAGGTAACACACACTCTCTGTAACTCACACACCCTACAACCTGGATACAATGCTATTACCCAGGTACACACTGAAGCAAAGTGAACTTTAAACCTCCCTGTAAGCCATAGCAGCATTCAATTGACAAAACAACACCAGTCCCACACAGCTTTTGCAAGTCTAGGTGTCTGTCTGGTATGGATGGCTAGCATTGTGCATGATTACACACACAGCAGGCATGGGCTTCTGAAATGGCCCTGCCCACAGAATGTGACCTTCCAGGCCTGAAGCCTAAACCTGTCCTCTTCCCCAGGCATCCCTCCCGGTCCAGGAGTACCTCTCCATGCCGTTTGAACAGACCCAGAGACAGACAGAGATCGCCCGCCACCTCCCCCCCTCTCTCTATGTCCTACTGGTACAGGCCAGCGCTTACGGACAGGCCTGCGGTGAGTGTTTGTGTGTGTGTTTACTTACATTTGTGAACGCAATTGTGTGGCAGACTTTTTTCATTGTCACTTTATCAATTTTGATGAGGACATGCGGTTTTTATGCATTTTTGTATTTGTGTGCGTTTCAGATAAGAGCCTGAGTGTGTCCATCAGTGGAGATGTGGACGAGGCCAAAGCTCTGTCTAAACCTCCAGAGGACTCCCAGGGTAAGTGTGATGAGGTGGTGTTGAAGGAGTCAGGCGCAGGAGGGTAAATCACAGAATAACAGGCTTTAATCCGCAAAATACAGATTTACGCAGAAATGCGTCAAACACACTCCAGGACACAAAACAGGCGCACTGGAAAATTCTCCCGTCGATACAAAATACGAGCTCCACCGAGCTTCACTAACCTCCACAAATAAACAATCACCCACAAGGACAAGGGGGCAGAGGGAACACTTATACATGGACTAATTAGGGGATTAGAACCAGGTGTGTGTGTGATTGACAAGACAATTGTGATGATGATTGGGGCGGCAGTGGTTAGTACTCCGGTGACGACGAATGCTGAAGCCTGCCCGAACAAGGAGGGGAGGCAGCCTCGGCCGAAGTCGTGACAGTAAGACTGCAGCACACCTGCCTGGCTGCATGTTAATGACCCTATATAATGTGCGAGTGTTCGACAAGGCATTGATTAAATAGAGAAACGTGTGTGTATTTTGACTGTGTATCTAAGTGTGTGTCATTTGATTGTCTCTCCTCTAGATGATGATTCTGGTGATTCTGATGCAGAGGAGGAGCAGGAGAAAACTGTGAGTGTGAGAGTCTGTCCCACACCATGCAGCCACTAGAGGCCCCTCTAATACGGCTCTCTACACACACACACACTTCAGTGTCAACGAGTTCACCGCAACTCTCCTATACCCAACCCTTCTACCTACACAAATTGTCCCAACAACCTCTGGTGACACACACACCCTATTGTTGTGGCAGACAGGGAATGGAGGCCTATCGATCGCTTCCTGACTGGTGCTAGTTGGGGGGTTCTGGGAAGTAGGGATAGGATGGGTCCTTGTAACCCGAGCCCACACAGACGTGAGGTCATAATCGTCATTCTCTGACACGTGTTGTACTCATACTCCTCATACTCGCGTACAGCTCACACACAGCCAATTTCACTTGTATATTGTTATTTATTTATTTATTCATATTTTTGCTGAATGAAATTGTCTGTCATTGCCTGGTCACATTACTGCTGCTCTGCCACTGTACACCTCAGCTGCCACTCCTTTTCTCCCCTCCCTCCCTCCCTCCTTCCAGCTAGTCCTTCTCTTTCTCTGTGAAATATGTATGAGCTGAAGGTCAAGCCTCTATTCAACTCTGTCCTCCTATAGCCGTAATGACAGCTGATCAGTTAGGATTATAAAATGCATCCCAAATGGCACCCTATTCCCTATATCAAGGGTTCCCAAACTTTTTCACTCAGGCCCCACTTCCAGCATTCATGAACATCCCGCGACGTCTATTTCTATGGGCACAAGCACTGTTCATGACACAAACCGTTCACACACATCTTGTTGGCAGAGAGAACATTTTGCAAGTTTTAAAGTTTATTTCCTGCAATTCTACACATTTTGTCATGGGGTGTAGAGACAATTTTGTAGTTTTAAAGCTAATTTTCTTGCAATTCTAAACATTTTGCCGTGTCTAATGTGTATTCGTGTGACATTTGAGTGACTCCAACATTACAACAAAAAACCTAGTTAAAAAACGTTAGCTGACATGGGCTAGTTGATCTGGACATTTCTGACAAGTTATAAATAGCTCTCTAAGGTATGCAATGACTGACATGACAAGAGGAAAACTGATGATGCACTATCCAATTTCAAAATTGCACCTTGTGCATTCTACTATTACAACTTTCCAAAGTAAGTTGAAAGCCAGACTGAGTTCCACCAAAAAATACATACATATACACAAAAGTATGTGGCCACCCCATCAAATTAGTGGATTCGGCTATTTCAGCCACACCCGTTGCTGACAGGTGTATAAAATCGAGCACACAGCCATGCACTCTCCATAGACAAACATTGGCAGTAGAATGGCCTTACTGAAGAGCTCAGTGACTTTCAACGTGGCATAGGATGCCACCTTTCCAACAAGTCAGTTCGTCACATTTCTGCCCTGCTAGAGCTGCCCCGGTCAACTGTAAGTGCTGTCATTGTGAAGTGGAAACGTCTAGGAGCAACATAGGCTCAGCCATGAAGTGGTAGGCCACACAAGCTCACAGAACGGGACCGCCGAGTGCTGAAGCACGTAACACTCACTACCGTGTTCCAAACTGCCTCTGGAAGCAATGTCGGCACGAGAACTGTTCGTCGAGAGCTTCATGAAATGGGTTTCCATGGCCGAGCAGCCGCACACAAGCCTAAGATCACCATGTGCAATGCCAAGCGTAGGCTGGAGTGGTGTAAAGCTCGCCGCCATTGGTCTCTGGAGCAGTGGAAACATGTTCTCTGGAGTGATGAATCACGCTTCACCATCTGGCTGAATCTGGGTTTGGTGGATGCCAGGAGAACGCTATCTGCCCCAATGCATAGTGTCAACTGTAAAGTTAGGTGGAGGAGGAATAATGGTCTGGGGCTGTTCTTCATGGTTCGGGCTAGGCCCCTTAGTTCCAGTAAAGGGACATCTTAAAGCTACAGCATACAATGACATTCAAGACGATTCTGTGATTCCAACTTTGTGGCAATAGTTTGGGGAAGGACCTTTCCTGTTTCAGCATGGCAATGTCCCCGTGCACAAAGCGAGGTCCATACAGAAATGGTTTGTCGAGATCGGTGTGGAAGAACTTGACTGGCCTGCACAGAGCCCTGACCTCAACCCCATCGAACACCTTTGGGATGAATTGGAACGCCGACTGTCCCCACAGCAATGTTCCAACATCTAGTGGAAAACCTTCCCAGAAGAGTGGAGGCTGTTATAGCAGCAAATGTTTACCAACTCCATATAATAATAATAATAATAATATGCCATTTAGCAGACGCTTTTATCCAAAGCGACTTACAGTCATGCGTGCATACATTTTTGTGTGTGGGTGGTCCCGGGGATCGAACCCACTACCTTGGCGTTACAAGCGCTGTGCTCTACCAGCTGAGCTACAGAGGACCACATATTAATGCCCATGATTTTGGAATGAGATGTTCAAGGAGCAGGTGTCCACATACTTTTGTTCATGTAGTGTATACCAGGGCTCTGGTCTAAAGTAGTGCACATTTTACATTTTAGTCATTTAGCAGATGCTCTTATCCAGTATGGAGGACTAAAAGTGCCACAATTAAATAAAATAAATACACCATTAAATAATTACTTAAATGTGTCATTAATTAATTAAAATTAGAATTAAATACATAAATGTGTTATTAAATGTGTCATTAATTAATTCAAATACCGATTCATTTTATGTAAAATACATATATAATTATTTCACTATTTACATTTACATTTCATGATCCTGCATTGCAGTGATTCATGAATTACTTAAAACTGTCAAACTGACCCATCAAAGTCAGTGGGCGGGGCTAACGCGAATCTAGTCTGATCCATTGCTTTGGTCTGAAGTAGAGTAGGCCAACCTGGATAGAGACAATGGAGGATCTCCGTGAACTTTCCAGGGAGTTGGTTAGAGACATTTTAAACTTAGCAGAGGATGTAGAAGCAGGACCTGCTGACATTATCCGGAATTGATTTGTCTTGGCTTGATGCAGAGGGTAACCAATCAGGCGTTAGGTTCCGCCTACCAACTTTTGATGGGTCAGTTTGACAGTTTTAAGTAATTCAGGAAGCACTCCAACGCAGGACCATGAAATGTAAATGTAAATAGTGAAATTATTATATATGTATTTTACATAAAATGAATCGGTATTTGAATTAATTAATGATACATTTAATTACACATTTATGTATTTAATTCTAATTTGAATTAATTAATGACACATTTAAGTAATTATTTAATGGTGTATTTATTTATTTAATTGTGGCACTTTTAGTCCTCCATAATCCAGAGCGACTTACAGGAGCAATTAGTGTTAAGTGCCTTGCTCAAGGGCACATCGACAGATTTTTCACCTAGTCTGCTCGGGGATTAGAACCAGCGACCTTTTGGTTACTGGCACAACGCTCTTAACCACTAAGCTACCTGCCGCCCTACAGTGCTATGAAAAAGTATTTGCCCCCTTTCTAATTTTCTCTACTTTTGCATATTTGTGATACTGAATGTTATCAGATCTTCAACCAAAACCTAATATTAGATAAAGGGAACATAAGTGAACAAATAACACAACAATTACATATTTATTTCATAAACAAAGTTATGCAACACCCAATTCCCCTGTGTGAAAAAGTAATTGCCCCCACACTCAATAACTGGTTGAGCCACCTTTAACTGCAATGACTCCAACCAAATGCTTCCTGTAGTTGTTGATCAGTCTCTCACGTCGCTGTGGAGGAATTTTGGCCCACTCTTCCATGCAGAACTGCTTTAACTCAGTGACGTGTGGGTTTTCAAGCATGAACTGCTCGTTTCAAGTCCTGCCACAACATCTCAATTGGGATTAGGTCTGGACTTTGACTAGGCCATTCCAAAACTTCAAATGTGTTGCTTTTTAGCAATTTTCATGTAGACTTGATTGTGTGTTTTGGATCATTGTCTTGCTGCATGACCCAGCTGCACTCAGGTGAATCCAGGTGAAAGCTATGATCCCTTATTGATGTCACTTGTTAAATCCACTTCAATCAGTGTAGATGAAGGGGAGGCGACAGGTTAAAGAAGGAATTTTAAGCCTTGGGACAATTGAGACATGAATTGTGTATGTGTGCCATTCAAAGAGTAAATGGGCAAGACAAAAGATTGAAGTGCCTTCGAACGGGGTATGGTAGTAGGTGCCAGGCGCACCGGTTTGTGTAAAGAAGTGCAACGCTGCTGGGTTTTTCACGCTCAACAGTTTCCCGTGTGTATCAAGAATGGTCCACCACCCAAAGGACATTAGCCAACTTGACACAACTGTGGGAAGCATTGGAGTCAACATGGGAACGCTTTCAACACCTCGTAGAGTCCAGGCCCAGACGAATTGAGGCTGTTCTGAGGGCAAAAGGGGAGGGGTGCAACTCAATATTAGGAAGGTGTTCCTAGTGTTTGGTACACTAAGTGTAGACATCAGTACATCTGATTAATGAGCAGTAGAACATGACAGCGTGATGTAATGGTAATTCTCTCTCTCTGTCTCTGTGTGTAGAAGAGGAGGAGACCTACTACAGGTGGTCAGCTGGATGATAAGAGACGTGAGATGCTGAAGAGACACCCTCTCTCCCTCTGCCTAGACCTCAAATGCAAAGGTACACACACACACACTTTCTATTCCAGTAGTTTCTGTGTGTCAGCCTCTCACAGATAGTGCTGCTTCTGCTGTTTTTCTTTCTCTGTGGAAGACTGCAGTAATCTGTCACTGCTCCTCAGTGACACACACACACTGCTCCTGTGTGACAGGCAGCAGGACGCTGTCACTACTTCTTAGTCTCTCTGGGACAGTTAAGGGTAGATGACATCATTCAGAGCTATATGATAGGACTGTTAGAAATTGATATCAATGGTAGTGGTAAGGATTCTGTGGTGCAGTGTATATGGTGATGGTTCAGTGCATAGATTACACTAAATGAACGATTCTTGTTCAATGAACAATGACATCACTACTAAGGTTACACAATGTCGCCTCTCCTCTCCTCTCCTGGCTAGAACCCAATGACACCTTGAGAGACGGACACACAGACGCACACTCACTCTCTCACAAATACACACACACACACACACAGCTTTTACTGCTGCAAACAGTCATAAGCTGCTTCATGGTTTAGAGTAGTGGTTCCCAACCTTTTTCGGTTACTGTACCACCAACTTAATTTTGTTCTGCCCAGAGTACCCCTGAAGTACCCCCTCATGTGCATTTTACCAGTAAGCCTATGGTCTCATGAGTCTTCTCAAGTACCCCCTGTGGATAGGCCAAGTATCCCCAGGGGTCCTAGTACTCCTGGTTGGGAACCACTAGTTTAGAGGACAACAGAGAGAGTGCGAGGAGGCTGATGAAAATGTGCTTAGAATAAGGTGTGAGTGCTGCAGCCCTACACTGCTGCCAGCTCCACACACATACACCGTCCGCTCCTCCCTGCCTGCTTGCCAGTGGATAGAGTTACGCCTGCAATGCAGAACATCCTCACCTCATCCCTCCTCCTTTTCGCCATCTCTCCCTCCCCTCCTCCTCTTCTCCATTCTTCATAGCTAAGAATCTAGTCATCCTCTTTGTGTCAATTTACACTGACATCCACGGGGTATACGAGTGCATTGCAGGCTGCATACAATGCTTTTGAACAGTAAGATTGCCATCTCAATTTGCCATCTGCCGGCCTTTGGGGTATCTTTTGGCAGAGAGGCAACTTACCAACCACAATACATGCTCACATACACACACACACACACGTCTCATCTCCCTGTTTGATAAATAGCATATTATGTATATATTATTAATAGATCGCATCATACCCAGTGAACCCTTCTCTCTCTCACTCTCTCTGTCTCTCTAGACGGCAGTGTGCTGCATCTGTTCTTCTACTACCTGATGAACCTGAACATCATGACTGTCAAGGCCAAAGTCTCCACTGCCACAGACCTCACTGGAGCTATCAGTGCTGGGTACGTGTGTGCGTGTGGAGTTTGGGGAGTGTGTGACTGTGTGTGACTGTGTTGTAATGATTCTATCTTCTGGCAGGGAGCTGTTAAATTCTGACACGCTGCTCAACTGCCTGTATGCTAACGATCAGGGGCGCGAGACGCCCAACCCTGCTAACCGCTACCAGTTTGATAAAGTGGGGTAAGGATGCTGTCCTAAAGCCGAACACCTATACACACAGCTTGTACAGTTGCTTCAGTATCAATACAGATATTGTTTGATGATTGTAGGATCAGTATTAATTCATATATTGTGTTTTCTTGTAGGATCAGTTCATTTGGAGACTACGTGGCAGAGCTGGGTCATCCCTACCTGTGGGTGCAGAGACTGGGAGGACTGCAGTTCCCAAGTGACGCCCCAGAGGTGTGTGTTTGTGGTGTGTGTGGCCCTGACATTCCGTTTAGTAAAGTGTCTGCTGCTATGCTGTACTTCTTTCTCTCTGTATGTGTGTGTTAACCCTGCTGTGTGTGTGTTTCAGGGTGTGCATGCAGGCAGTTCTCTGAGTGCCAGTCACATGGAGAGCACCATGAAGCTGCTGAGAGGACGCGTCCAGTCACGCCTGGCCCTGCACAAACAGTTCTCCTCACTAGGTACACACAGACAGTTCTCCTCACATTTCTCATCACCGGGTACACGCACACAGACAATAAAATAAGTGTTTATGGTATTGTGTTTGTGTTTTTCAGAGCACAGTATTGTTCCAGTGTCCAGTGAGTGCCAGCACCTGTTCCCTGCTAAGGTTCTCTCCCGCCTGGCTCGCTGGACTACCATCACACACCAGGAGTACACAGTACGAACACACAAAACACTTCCATACATTTTGTTTGCTGTCAAAACAACCGAAGAGTACACAGGAAGCACACAACTTTGACTACAACTCATCCTCACACTCAATATAAAATGTCTGACTCTCATTGTAGCTGCTGTGTAGATGGAGTGGCTATAGAAGGTATTGTGGTTTAATTAAATAAACCATATAGCTTACTATTCTTTGTGTGTTCTCTCTCGCTGTATAGAATCTGGTGTTCACGCAGCATGTGTCAGAAGCAGGTCTTGCTCGGGAGACTGACCTGTTCTTCATGGCCGTGGTGGAGAGAGGAACAGGTAAATACCAGGGGTATATATTAAGACATTCCTGAAGAATTGGAGGCCTGTCTCTGCTTTGTTTGGACTATAAGATTTCTTAGAAAAGTCAGGAAAATAAATTATCTCTTTCCTTTCCAGCTCGTCTTCAGGCTGCGGTGGTGTTGAACCCCCGTTACCCAGTCATTTCTCCTCTCTTTGCTGTCTCACTCAGCTGGAAGGGGGAGCGCAGTGGACGTACTGACGACAACCTTCGAGTGAGTATACACACACCCATCACACACTGTGAATACAGGACCCTAACCCAGGGGAGGGCAAATCTATATGCTGTAATGCCCTTTGATGCCACTGGTTAGTGGTTAGACACTCACCGGCTGGGATTGACATGTCTAACCCCTCCCCCAGGCCATGGAGAGTGAGGTGAACGTTTTCAAATCGGAGCTCCAGGGGCCCCGCCCAGGCCACCAGCTGCTGACCAATCAGGTGGCTCGTCTGGGTGTCTGTCTGGACGTGTACCTGGAGACAGACGGACAGGACGACAGTGTGGAGGGACCACGGGAGTTCCCCAGAGAGAAGATGTGTCTACGCACTGTCAGGTACACGCACACACATACACACACACAGAGATGGCGCCGATCGACATGGCTGGCCTGTTTCTGGCTCCTAAGCAACTTTGCAGTATATTTTTTTTCTCACATTATTAGCACAGAATGTTTTTTGCATTATTACATACGGCTGGAAATAACTTTGGAATATCAGTAACTCGCCAGCATTTCGACCAGAAATACGACTTTCCTGAATTGGATCCTTTGTTCGTACCCCCCAAGGCGATTTAACTTATGTCAGAGGCTGCTCCAAGACGCCGCTGGCATAGAAGAGGTATTCGGAGTAGACTTTTAGTCCAACTCGGGAGGCATGCACACCATCCACCGCTTACGAGTATATTACAGTAAAGTAGACGAGCTCAGGGTGAGGATATCCTTCCAGAGAGACATCAGGGACTGTAACATACTCTGTTTCACGGAGTCATGGCTCTCTCCTGATATACTGTCCCGTTCTCAGTACATCGCGCAGATAGGAATAAAGAACTCTCTGGGAAGAAGAAAGGCGGAGGTGTATGTTTCATGATTAACTACTCATGGTGTGATTGTGGTAACGTACAGGAACTCAAGCCCTTTTGTTCACCCGACCTAGAATACTTCACAATCAAATGCCGATCACATTACCTCCCAAAATAATTATCTTCGGTCATCGTCACAGCCATGTATATTCCCCCTCAAGTCGATACCACGACGGCTCTCAAGGAACTACGCTGGACTTTGTGCAAACTGGAAACCGCATATCCTGAGGCCGCATTTATTGTAGCTAGGGACTTTAATAAAGCAAATCTACCTATGTAAGAATGCTGTTCATTGACTACAGCTCAGCCTTCAACACCATAGTACCCTACAAGCTCATCATTAAGCTCGTCCCTGGGTCTGAACCCCGCCCTGTGCAACTGGGTCCTGGACTTCCTGACGGGCTACCCCCAAGTGGTGAAGGTCGACAACAACACCTCCACTACGCTGATCCTCAACACAGGGGCCCCGCAAGGGTGGTGCTCAGCCCCCTCCTGTACTCCCTTTTCACCTATGACTGCGTGGCCACGCACGCCTCCAACTCAATCATCAAGTTTGCAGACGACACAACAGTGGTAGGCCTGGTTACCAACAATTACGAGACGTCCTACAGGGAGGAGGTGAGGGCCCTGGCGGAGTGGTGCCAGGAAAATAACCTCTCCCTCAACAAAACGAAGGAGCTGATCGTGGACTTCAGGAGAACGCAGAGGGAGCACACCCCCATCCACATCAATGGGGCTGCAGTGGAGAAGGTCAAAAGCTTCAAGTTCCTCGGCGTACACATCACTGACAATCTGAAATGATGCACCCACGCAGACCGTGTGGTGAAGAAGGCGAACAGCGCCTCTTCAACCTCAGGAGGCTGAAAAAATGTGGCTTGGCCCATAAGACCCACAAACTTTTACAGATGCACCATTGAGAGCATCCTGTCGGGCTGTATCACCGCCTGGTACAGCAACTGCACCGTCAGCAACCGCAGGGCTCTCCAGAGGGTGGTGCGGTCTGCCCAACGCATCACCAGGGGCACACTGGCTGCCCTCCAGAACATCTACAGCACCCGGTGTCACAGGAAGGCCAAGAAGATCATCAAGGACCTCAGCCACCCAAGCCACGGCCTATTCACGCCGCTATCATCCAGAAGGCGAGGTCAGTACAGGTGCATCAAAACTGGGACCGATATAAGTTGTTTTTCAGTCTCAAGGCCATCAGGCTGTTGAATAACAATCACTAGCCAACCTCCACCCAGTACGCTGCCCAGAACTTTGTCACTGTCACTAGCCGGCTACCACCCAGTTACTCAAATCTGCACCTTAGAGGCTGCTGCCCTATGTACATAGACATGGAACACTGGTCACTTTAATAATAGAACACTGGGCACTTTTAATAATGTTTACGTATGTTTTACCCATTTTCATATATGTGTGTATATATATATATATATATATATACAGATACAGTGAGGGAAAAAAGTATTTAATCCCCTGCTGATTTTGTATGTTTGCCCACTGACAAAGACATGATCAGTCTATAATTTTAATGGTAGGTTTATTTGAACAGTGAGAGATAGAATAACAACAACAAAATCAAGAAAAACGCATGTCAAAAATGTTATAAATTGATTTGCATTTTAATGAGGGAAATAAGTATTTGACCCCTCTGAAAAACATGACTTGGTGGCAAAATCCTTGTTGGCAATCAGAGGTCAGGCGTTTCTTGTAGTTGGCCACCAGGTTTGCACACATTTCAGGAGGGATTTTGTCCCACTCCTCTTTGCAGATCTTCTCCAAGTCATTAAGGTTTCGAGGCTGACGTTTGGCAACTCGAACCTTCAGCTCCCTCCACAGATTTTCTATGGAATTAAGGTCTGGAGACTGGTTAGGCCACTCCAGGACCTTAATGTGCTTCTTCTTGAGCCACTCCTTTGTTGCCTTGGCCGTGAGTTTTGGGTCATTGTCATGCTGGAATACCCATCCACGACCCATTTTCAATGCCCTGGCTGAGGGAAGGAGGTTCTCACCCAAGATTTGACGGTACATGGCCCCGTCCATCGTCCCTTTGATGCAGTGAAGTTGTCCTGTCCCCTTAGCAGAAAAACACCCCCAAAGCATAATGTTTCCACCTCCATGTTTGACGGTGGGGATGGTGTTCTTGGGGTCATAGGCAGCATTCCTCCTCCTACAAACACGGCGAGTTGAGTTGATGCCAAAGAGCTCCATTTTGGTCTCATCTGACCACAACACTTTCACCCAGTTCTCCTCTGAATCATTCAGATGTTCATTGGCAAACTTCAGACGGCCTGTATATGTGCTTTCTTGAACAGGGGGACCTTGCGGGCGCTGCAGGATTTCAGTCCTTGAAGGCGTAGTGTGTTACCAATTGTTTTCTTGGTGACTATGGTCCCAGCTGCCTTGAGATCATTGACAAGATCCTCCCGTGTAGTTCTGGGCTGATTCCTCACCGTTCTCATGATCATTGCAACTCCACGAGGTGAGATCTTGCATGGAGCCCCAGGCAGAGGGAGATTGACAGTTATTTTGTGTTTCTTCCATTTGCGAATAATCACACCAACTGTTGTCAACTTCTCACCAAGCTGCTTGGCGATGGTCTTGTAGCCCATTCCAGCCTTGTGTAGGTCTACAATCTTGTCCCTGACATCCTTGGAGAGCTATTTGGTCTTGGCCATGGTGGAGAGTTTGGAATCTGATTGATTGATTGCTTCTGTGGACAGGTGTCTTTTATACAGGTAACAAGCTGAGATTAGGAGCACTCCCTTTAAGAGTGTGCTCTAATCTCAGCTCGTTACCTGTATAAAAGACACCTGGGAGCCAGAAATCTTTCTGATTGAGAGAGGGGTCAAATACTTATTTCCCTCATTAAAATGCAAATCAATTTATTACATTTTTGCCATGTGTTTTTCTGGATTTTTTTGTTGTTATTATGTCTCTCACTGTTCAAATAAACCTACCAATTAAAATTATAGACCGATCATTTCTTTGTCAGTGGGCAAACATACAAAATCAGCAGGGGATCAAATACTTTTTTCCCTCACTGTGTGTGTGTATATAGATAGATAGATAGATAGATAGATAGATATATAGATATATAGATATATATATAGATATATATATATAGATATATATATAGATATATATATATACACACACACACACACACACACACACACACACACACACACACACACACACACACACACACACACACACAGTGGGGGAAAAAAGTATTTAGTCAGCCACCAATTGTGCATGTTCTCCCACTTAAAAAGATGAGAGCGGCCTGTAATTTTCATCATAGGTACACCTCAACTATGACAGACAAATTGAGATTTTTTTTTCCAGAAAATCACATTGTAGGATTTTTAATGAATTTATTTGCAAATTATGGTGGAAAATAAGTATTTGGTCACATACAAACAAGCAAGATTTCTGGCTCTCACAGACCTGTAACTTCTTCTTTAAGAGGCTCCTCTGTCCTCCACTCGTTACCTGTATTAATGGCACCTGTTTGAACTTGTTATCAGTATAAAAGACACCTGTCTACAACCTCAAACAGTCACACTCCAAACTCCACTATGGCCAAGACCAAAGAGCTGTCAAAGGACACCAGAAACAAAATTGTAGACCTGCACCAGGCTGGGAAGACTGAATCTGCAATAGGTAAGCAGCTTGGTTTGAAGAAATCAACTGTGGGAGCAATTATTAGGAAATGGAAGACATACAAGACCACTGATAATCTCCCTCGATCTGGGGCTCCACGCAAGATCTCACCCCGTGGGGTCAAAATGATCACAAGAACGGTGAGCAAAAATCCCAGAACCACACGGGGGGACCTAGTGAATGACCTGCAGAGAGCTGGGACCAAAGTAACAAAGCCTACCATCAGTAACACACTACGCCGCCAGGGACTCAAATCCTGCAGTGCCAGACGTGTCCCCCTGCTTAAGCCAGTACATGTCCAGGCCCGTCTGAAGTTTGCTAGAGTGCATTTGGATGATCCAGAAGAGGATTGGGAGAATGTCAGATGAAACCAAAATATAATTTTTTGGTAAAAACTAAACTTGTCGTGTTTGGAGGACAAAGAATGCTGAGTTGCATCCAAAGAACACCATACCTACTATGGAACAAGCTCCCTCACGACGCCAGGACAGCGGAGTCACTCACCACCTTCCGGAGACATTTGAAACCCCACCTCTTTAAGGAACACCTGGGATAGGATAAAGTAATCCTTCTACCCCCCCCCCCCCAATTTTTTTTAAAAATAATAATAATTGTAAAGTGGTTATCCCACTGGCTATAGGGTGAATGCACCAATTTGTAAGTCGCTCTGGATAAGAGCGTCTGCTAAATGACTAAAATGTAAATGTGGAAACATCATGCTTTGGGGCTGTTTTTCTGCAAAGGGACCAGGACGACTGATCCGTGTAAAGGAAAGAATGAATGGGGCCATGTATCGTGAGATTTTGAGTGAAAACCTCCTTCCATCAGCAAGGGCATTGAAGATGAAACGTGGCTGGGTCTTTCAGCATGACAATGATCCCAAGCACACCGCCCGGGCAACGAAGGAGTGGCTTCGTAAGAAGCATTTCAAGGTCCTGGAGTGGCCTAGCCAGTCTCCAAATCTCAACCCCATAGAAAATATTTGGAGGGAGTTGAAAGTCCGTGTTGCCCAGCGACAGCCCCAAAACATCACTGCTCTAGAGGAGATCTGCATGGAGGAATGGGCCAAAGTACCTGCAACAGTGTGTGAAAACCTTGTGAAGACTTACAGAAACGTTTGACCTGTGTCATTGCCAACAAAGGGTATATAACAAAGTATTGAGGAACTTTTGTTATTGACCAAATACTTATTTTCCACCATAATTTGCAAATAAATTCATAAAAAATCCTACAATGTGATTTTCTGGAATTTTTTTCCTCAATTTGACTGTCATAGTTGACGTGTACCTATGATGTAAATTACAGGCCTCTCTCATCTTTTTAAGTGGGAGAACCTGCACAATTGGTGGTTGACTAAATACTTTTTTCCCCCACTGTGTATGTGTGTGTGTGTGTATATGTGTGTGTATATATATATATATATATTACATACATACATACATACATACATACATACATACATACATACATACATACATACATACATACATACATACATACATACATACATACATACAGTGGGGAGAACAAGTATTTGATACACTGCCGATTTTGCAGGTTTTCCTACTTACAAAGCATGTAGAGGTCTGTAATTTTTATCATGGGTACACTTCAACTGTGAGAGACGGAATCTAAAACAAAAATCCAGAAAATCACATTGTATGATTTTTAAGTAATTATTTTGCATTTTATTGCATGACATAAGTATTTGATACATCAGAAAAGCAGAACTTAATATTTGGTACAGAAACCTTTGTTTCCTATATAAGGTCCCACAGTTGACAGTGCATGTCAGAGCAAAAACCAAGCCATGAGGTCGAAGGAATTGACCGTAGAGCTCCAAGACAGGATTGTGTCGAGGCACAGAACTGGGGAATGGTACAAAAAAATGTCTGCAGCATTGAAGGCCCCCAAGAACACGGAGGCCTCCCATCATTCTTAAATGGAAGAAGTTTGGAACCACCAAGACTCTTCCTAGAGCTGGCCGCCCGGCCAAACTGCGTAATTGGGGAAAAGGGCCTTGGTCAGGGAGGTGACCAAGAACCCGATGGTAACTCTGACAGAGCTCCAGAGTTCCTCTGTGGAGATAGTAGAACCTTCCAGAAGGACAACAATCTCTGCAGCACTCAACCAATTGGCCTTTATGGTAGAGTGGCCAGACGGAAGCCACTCCTCAGTAAAAGGCACATGACAAGCCGCTTGAAGTTTGCCAAAAGGCACCTAAAGGACTCTGACCATGAGAAACAAAATTCTCTAGTCTGATGAAACCAAGATTGAACTCTTTGGCCTGAATGCCAAGCATCCCATCTGGAGGAAACCTGGCACCATCCCTACGGTGAAGCATGGTGGTGGCAGCATCATGCTGTGGGGATGGTTTTCAGCGGCAGGGACTGGGACACTACTCAGGATCGAGGGAAAGATGAACGGAGCAAAGTACAGAGAGATCCTTGATGAAAACCTGCTCCAGAGCGCTCAGGACCTCAGACTGGAGCAAAGGTTCACCTTCCAACAGGACAACGACCCTAAGCACACAGTCAAGACAAACGCAGGAGTGGCTTCGGGACAAGTCTCTGAATATCCTTGAGTGGGCCAGCCAGAGCCCGGACTTGAACGTGATGGAACAAATCAGGAGAGACCTGAAAATAGCTGTGCAGCAACGCTCCCCATCCAACCTGACAGAGCTTGAGAGGATCTGCAGAGAAGAATGGGAGAAACTCCCTAAATACAGGTGTGCCAAGCTTGTACCGTCATACCCAAGAAGACTCTAGGCTGTAATCGCTGCCAAAGGTGCTTCAACAAAGTACTGAGTAAAGGGTCTGAATACTTATGTAAATGTGACATTTCAGTATTTTTTTTAAATAAAATTGCAAAAATGTCTAAACCTGTTTTTTGCTTTGTCATTATGGGGTATTGTGTGTAGTCCGCGCACACACTCCGGACTCCAACATTGCTCGTCCTAATATTTCTTAATTCCATTTGTGTGTATTGTTAGATGTTACTGCACTGTTGGAGCTAGGAACACAAGCATTTCGCTACACCCGCAATAACATCTGCTAAATATTTGTATGCGACCAATAAAATGTGATTTGACCAATAAAATGTGATTTGATTTGACACTCACACACTCCTCTCTCAGTATCTCTGACAATGTGTTTCTCTATGGTTGTGTTTCAGGGGTCCGAACCGTCTGAAGCCGTTCAAGTACAACCACCCCCAGGGCTTCTTCAGTCACCGCTGACCTCTCTACCCCTCTCCCTTCACCGCTGACCCCCCGACCCCCTCACCCCAGAACTCTTACCCTACCTCATGGCTTCTTCAGTCACCCCTGACTCCTGAACTTTACCCTCTGCTGTGCCCCTGCCCTCATATCCCCCATCTCTTTTTTTAATACACAAGTCTTGTCTGTTTAACACACTGTTTGACACATTCTGTGTGTCGGTTGGACAATAAAAAGCTAGTGATCTTGTTTGGATCAGCAAGTTCTGTCTTTTTTAAATGTTATTCTTCACTGCTGACTGATTTATGCTCAGCTTTATTCTACTATGAATTATCTCCTCCTCTTTTAGCTAGTACATATTTATTTCCTCATCTCTCCCTGCCTTCCCTTTTTCTTTCTCTCTCTCTCTCTCTCTCTCTCTGCATTATGGCCTTTTATTATCATGGCTCAGCACTTCTCTAAGATGACTCATGCCCATTGGTTCTGGAAATACAGGGTATACACTATCATACACACACACACACACACACATAGAAATGTGTTTCCTATCCTGTCTTTACAGTGTAGTAAGAGATGCTTAAATGTGTTCCCTATCCTGTACGTACAGTATGGAAAGAGCTGATTAATAATACAGGACCACTTGATCACTGCTCTGGATTTAAACTGACATTAGTGCAGCATCATAGAGCCCCAGTAGCTCTCTCTCCTCCAGGACAAGCTTGCCACTGTTAGGATGTAGCCGAGGTGTTTTGTGGGCTCCATGCCATGGTGATCATTAGGGGAAGTGGTGTTCTGAGGATGTTTTTGCTGCCGGTTGTGTCTGCTGTTAATACACCGTCATCCATCAGACACAGAGATTACATTACAACCCCAAGGAGAAATCTAATCATCAGGAAATAATTCAAGGAGAAACTTAACGAACATGATGATATACTGTCAGAATTCAGGGAGATTCACTACATGGCCAAAGGTATGTGGTCATCTGCTCGTCGAACATCTCATTCCAAAGTCATGGGCATTTAATATGGAGTTGGTCCCCCCTTTGCTGCTATAACAGCCTCCACTCTTCTGGGAAAGCTTTCCACTAGATGTTGGAACATTGCTGCGGGGACTTGCTTCCATTCAGCCACGAGCATTAGTGAGGTCGGGCACTGATGTTGGGGGATTAGGCCTGGCTCACAGTTTGCGTTCCAATTCATCCCAAAGGCGTTCGATGGAGTTGAGGTCAGGGCTCTGTGAAGGCCAGTCAAGTTCTTCCACACTGATCTCGACAAACCATTTCTGTATGGACCTCGCTTTGTGCACGGGGGCATTGTCATGCTGAAAAGGGAAAGGGCCTTCCCCAAACTGTTGCCACAAAGTTGGAAGCCCAGAATCGTCTAGAATGTCATTGTATGCTGTAGCGTTAAGATGTCCCTTCACTGGAACTAAGGGGCCTAGCCTGAACCATGAAAAACAGCCCCAGACCATTATTCCTCCTCCACCAAACTTTACAGTTGGTACTATGCATTGGGGCAGGTAGCGTTCTCCTGGCATCCGCCAAACCCAGAATCATCCGTCGGACTGCCAGATGGTGAAGCATGATTCATCACTCCAGAGAACGCTTTTTTTTTCCTTACACCACTCCAGCCGACGCTTGGCATTGCGCATGGTGATCTTAGGCTTGTGTATGGCTGCTCGGCCATGGAAACCCAAAAAACCGTTATTGTGCTGACGTTGCTTCCAGAGGCAGTTTGGAACTTGGTAATGAGTGTTGCAACCGAGGACAGACGATGTTTTATGCGCTACGCGTTTCAGCACTGGGCGGTCCCGTTCTGTGAGCTTGTGTGGCCTACCACTTTGCGGCTGAGCCGTTGTTGCTCCTAGATGTTTCCACTTCATAATAACAGCACTTACAGTTGACCGGGGCTGCTCTAGCAGGGCAGAAATTTGACGAACTGACTTGTTGGAAAGGTGGCATCCTATGACGGTGCCACGTTGAAAGTCACTGAGCTCTTCAGTACGGGCCATTCTACTGACAATATTTGTCTATGGAGATTGCATGGCTGTGTTCTCGATTTTATACACCTGTCAGCAACGTTGTGGCTGAAATAGCCAAATCCACTAATTTGAAGGGGTGTCCACATACTTTAAGCCATGTAGTGTACTTCGTGATATCAGATGTAAGATTCAGCATCTCAATGTCAACAGCGTACATACTCTCCAGCCCCTATGGAAACATTGTTTTCCATTGCCCATAACTCCACAGCATATCACAACCACTGTCCCCCAGTGCAGCTGACTGTAGTGTTGTTTCCATGACGATTATGGACCACTGTGTTACATCAAAGAAAAGACAGAGACCGTCTGAAACTGATATCAAAGTCTACAAGAGACCTTTTTCTGTTCTGAAATAAAGGGTGTAATTTTGGTTTATAGCACTTCTCAAACTGCGCTCTATCTTTTGCAGCACATGCATGGATCTTCAGATTAGTGTGTGTAGATTATCTCCACTGGCTGGGCAGGTTACTGCAGTATCTCTACTTCAGGGTTACTGTTTTGCAGGCTGGCTTTGTGAAGCAGGTACATACAGTGTGTGTGAGAGAGAGAGAGGGGTAAAAGAAGGGAGAGGTGAGATAAGAATGAGAGACCTAACCTAAGGACAAGAGAGAGATGTGTAGGGGCAGATGTATTCTCAAACTCTAGGATGTTGTGTGGTGATGTGCTGTGTGGAAGAGGGGAACAGTTCTGTTCAGGTAGCACTATTCTCCAGACCACCTCCGGATTTATGTATGAGTCCAAGTTAGGCGACGTCAGAGCAGGGAGGTGAGGGGAGGGGAGAATGGAGCGATGTTGGGAGGGTGCTGCAACACTGCTCCCTGCACCCCTTAGCCGCAATGCAGCACAGCACACACACACACACACATAGTGTTTTAGGAGATCCACACCCCACTCACACCTCAACTTCCTCTCTCTCACATCTCAATTTCCTACCTTTCACACCTCAACTTCCTCCCTCTCAACTTCCCCCCTCTCACACCTCATCTTCCTCCCTGTCACACCTCATCTTCCTCCCTGTCACACCTCATCTTCCTCCCTCACACCTCAACTTCCTCCCACACACCTCAACTTCCTCCCTCTCACACCTCATCTTCCTCCCTCACACCTCAACTTCCTCCCTCTCACACCTCATCTTCCTCCCTCTCACACCTCATCTTCCTCCCTCTCACACCTCATCTTCCTCCCTCTCACACCTCATCTTCCTCACCTCCACTGTGCTTCTTTTCATCCCACCTTAGCACTCAGACAGTGTACTGTTCAGAACTGTTCCTTTCTTCATAGTGTGTATACTGAAATGGACATGAGCGGAATAGACGAGCTATAGCATTTATATAGTTTAGTTTAATGCCTTAATATTATACCAGTAAATTATCTATTTTAGCTACCTAGTTTTTCTCTCTCGAAGTGAGCACATCAAGTAACATCAAGACCATCACAGCAGCCATCATTATCATTCACACCAGAGTAATACAGTATCTCTTTGCATTTGTATTAGAGTAATATAATAATGACAAAACACAGAAATCTTTCGGTTTTAACCTTTATTAGTTCATCAGTTTGTATTGCATACTCTTAGCAGTTTATACATAGCACAGCCATCCCTGACTTCAGAGTTCTCATCACTGGCCTAGCATAATTACTGACCACAGCACAGTGAGTCAGCACATCCATTGGACAGGGAGCTGTTTAAGATGCAGGTTCGTAGTCTTTCTCTGCTTTTTATATTCGTTAATATAATATACGCATTTATATCTTTATAAATATACATATACAGTACAATATATTCATCTGTCACAATCTTTTATAGACATTTGTTGACATCTCTACCCTTGAAGGCTTCAGAAGGTACATGGCCCTGTGCTGTGCTCCCAGCCAAGGCGATACTGCTGTTTTAATGCACTTGTTATTATAGACAGGCAATCAGACACATTTCGATACTTTAGAGCATTCTGCATTCACTACAGTCATACATTAGAAGAAGCATCATATCAGGGTTGAGTACCCGGGGGTTAGTAACTAGAGAAACACTATTGCTTTGTTTGTTTACTGTTTGTCCTCTGCTCTGCTATGGTATGGTATGGCTTCCCTTTACAAAGGCTGCTCAGGTCTTCAGTAGCATCCCTTCCTCCCTCCCCGATAGTTCTTTGGCATCTCTCTCTCTCTTCTCCTGGCTCATACGCAGTGTGTTAGTGACTCACTTCTTGGCTTTCTCATCTTTGACCTCAGTGCTAGAAGACTTCTTGACCTTCTCTGCCTTCCCTCCCTCCTTCGTATCCTTTGCCTCTTTACTGTCGGATGCTTTAGAGGCCTCCTTCTTGTCCTCCTTCTTATCCTCCTTATGCTCCTTCTTCACCTCCTCTTTGGGCTCTGCTTTCTTCTCCTCCTTTGTGCTCTCTGTTTTCTGTGGTGATTCTTTGGGGGCAGGCTTCACCTCTGCCTGGGGTTTATCATCTGTTTTGGCCTGTTTCTCCTCTTCTTTCTTAGCAGGGCCGTGGCTCTCCTTGACGGGGGCGGGCTTTTCCTCTGCAGGCTTGGCCGGGGTGGCAGCAGGAGGGGAAGGTGTTGAGGTCTCAGTCTTCTTGGGGTTCTCCTCTGGCTTGCTCTCCTTGGGATCTGGTTTGTCTGTCGTCTCCTCAACCTTCTCCTCTTTAGGCTGGCTCTCACTCTTCTCCTTCTCCTTTGGTTCTGGCTCCTGTTTCTTCTCCTCCTTTACAGACTGGGGTTGTTCCTTCTCTTTCTTCTCCTCCTTGGCCAGTTTGTCTTCTGCAGGGGTCATGGCCTTCTCCTGGATGGTGGACTTGGGTTCAGGAGACTTTGGGAGGGGGGACTTGGGAGGGGGAGACTTAGACTCTGGGGATTTGCTGGGGGGAGATGTAGATGTTGGTGATTTCACGGCAGGGGGAGATTTGGGGGCAGGAGATTTGGCAGGTGATTTGGGGAGGGGAGATTTGGCTTGGGGTGATTTGGATTCAGGTGATTTGGGGGCAGGAGATTTGGCAGGTGATTTGGGGAGGGGAGATTTGGCTTGGGGTGATTTGGATTCAGGTGATTTGGGGGCGGGAGATTTGGCAGGTGATTTGGGGAGGGGAGATTTGGCTTGGGGGGTTTTGGGGGGAGACTTAGATTGGGGAGATTTGGATGGAGAGGAAGCAGCCTTCTCAGGTGACTTAGACTTATCTTCCTTTTTCTCCTCACCTGCCTCCTCTTCCTCTCCCCCCTTATCCTCAGCTCCTTCCCCTTCTCCCTCTTCTGCCTCAGCTTTGGTCTCATCCTCTTCCTCCTCTTCTTCCTCTTCCTCCTTCTCTTCTTCCTTTTCTGTCTCTTCTCCCTCTCCCTTTTCATCTTCCTCTTCCTCTGCTTCCTCTGTCACCTCAGTGACCTGTGTCTCATCCGTCTGTTCCTCCAGTATGACTGTGTCTGAGAGCTCCTCCCCCTTCAGCTTCAGGTGGGCGGAGGAGTAGGAGTACAGGCTTGGCCCAGATATGAACCGAGTCTCCTCCCCTTCCAGCAACTTCCTGTTTATGGGAAGAACACAAGAAGTACAGTCTGAATTGGGTGTGCCAATACAGTCTCCTGTTCAAAAACATATCAGTAGTTATTCTGTGATAATCATGTTTTTTTCACAAGAGCAGGGCTTATTCAGAGACAATCTGAGTCTGCATAAGTGCATTGACAAAAAATATACCCCACCCTTAACCTTTGACCCACCTGTAGGCTGCTATCTCTATGTCCAGAGCCATCTTGACGTTCAGCAGCTCCTGGTATTCTCTCAGCTGACTGGCCATCTCCCACTTAGTACTCTTCAGTTCACCGTCCAGCTGACGAATGGTCTCCTACACACACACACGTTGGTGAGAAATGCGTGCCAAAATGCAGGGAAATAGAAGAGCCAGACAGGCAGAGGAGTGTACCTGTAGTGACTTGTTATCTCCATGGTGTCTGTCCTCAGTCTCCATGCATTGTCTCTCCAGAGAGTCCTTGGTACCTCTGAGGGTCTCCAGTTCGATGGTGCGGCTCTGCAGCTGCCGTCTGTATTCTGCTATCTCATCCTGGGCACCGCGGATCGCATCTGTGTTAGAGTGAGCTGCATCTGCCAACCGCTCCATACGCACTACAGGGGTTTGGGAGAGGTGGGAGGTTGGGGAACAGGGTCAGAGACAGGGTTTTAGAGGTCATAGAGACAGGGACTATAACAACCAAATACTCTCAAATAGTGTCCTTTCCTTGTATACTCTCATTGTCTCTTTTCCTCCGTGACCACCACAGAGGTCGGTCATTGAGAACACAAATCCTCTCCTCCAGGAGTAACCTTGACAGTGCCAGTGTCGTGACGTGACTTACTTTAATGTATGACTGTTATTTATCAAATCACCTAACTATGTTTAATTGTCACTCGATTAAATTAATCATGTAACAATTAACTCATTAGGAATTTGGGGCACCACGGAATAAGTTGTTTAACGAGTTACCATCTCCCGAACTAAACTCTTAGAAGATATGTTATATATCGATAACAGTCACTTATTCACATTTACATTTTAGCAGACGCTCTTATCCAGAGCGACTTACAGTTAGTGAGTGCATACATTTTCATACTGGCCCCCCGTGGGAAACGAACCCACAACCCTGGCGTTGCAAGCGCCATGCTCTACCAACTGAGCTACAGGGGGCTACTTATCAAATGATTACCTCTTTTCAGTCTCATTCTGAACGTCGCATAATCCTTGAACCTGCAAGAACCCTAACCTTATTGATGAATCAGCAATAAACAAATTGGCTTAATTATTTATTTACTAACTAACTAAATAATAACACAATACAAACACACACATAGGTTATTGATTACTAACGTAATACAATGAAGACAGGTCCCTAGTGGACTGGACTAACAATCGCATGACTGCTTGGGTAGAAGGAGGGTCAGAGTGGAAGGGAGAGTTAGAGATTCAAACTATTGTGGTTCCTTTGGAGACTATGCTCACAGTAATCATAATACTTATGCACCCTAATAACGCTCATTCGGATTAGAAATGCAACATGTATTTACATGTAGCTGTCCTCGATAGTTGAGTTGATGATGTAGGACTCTGGTTTGCCCACCAGAGATCCCAATGTCCTTGGTAGAGTTTCTGGTCATAGTGCTGGTTAGAATGGGGCGGCAGGTAGCTTAGTGGCTAAGAGCGTTGTGCCAGTAATCGAAAGGTCGCTGGTTCTAATCCCCGAGCCGACTAGGTGAAAAATCTGCCGATGTGCCCTTGAGCAAGGCACTTAACCCTAATTGCTCATGTAAGTCGCTCTGGATAAGAGCGTCTGCTAAATGACGTAAATGTAAATGTTAATCCTGATTGCTCCAGGGTCGCCGTCAATAATGGCTGATCCCTGGGCGTGACCCCACTCTCCGAGGGTGGGATATGCAAAAAAATAAAAACATTTACATTTCAAACCACTCACTTGTACAGGTTACACACAAATGGATACTTCAGATGTACCAGCGGTTGTCTGAGAGGGATTGTCCTTCCCACTTCGTGTCTTTAGTGAAAGTTCTCTAAACGACTATACATGCCAGCTGCAGACTGAAATGAGAAGGTCTAGTGCATTGTCTTCTTCTTCACCTCGTGTAGAGGTTGAGAGTTTCAGAGTTTCTCCATTTCAAACGTGTGGACTAACGTCTCACGTTTTCTGGTCTTTCTGGTCTTGTAGAAGTTCAACCATTTGCAACGTTTGGCTCACGCTTCACGTCTGCTGGTCTGTAGAGTTTCAACCATTTGCAACGTTTAGCTCACGCTTCACGTCTGCTGGTCTTAAGGTTGATTTGTTTTTCAAGGCTTTTTATGCACTCGGAGTAAAAGGGGCGTTCCATCATGTTTACACGATCTCTGATGTCACTCTGGGCGTGGCTAGTCACTGTGCATAGTTTATATGAAAAACTATTATCTCATTAGAAGACTAAAATCACATTCCTATCTTCACCAAAATACTCTCATACTTAATCATATATTGTATACAACATTTAGATGTAAACTTGATAGATAGAATATGTACACTTTCCGAGTTACAGTTATTACTTGATACCATCCTTAATGACATCACAAAATAATAAACAATATGACATGATTATTCTTTAGATCCCCACTGACCATTTCCCACATTATTTTAAGTAGGAATATTGTTTCATTATCCACTTTTGGATGTTGGAGTCTTGGCGGAGTCTTAACTCAGTGAGGTGGTGGACCAGTACAAATCAAGCCATGCACAACATTTACCCATCCATTCAGAGAGTTTAACTAAGGTCTCTAATCCTAATTCTAACACTAACACTGGTACATACCAAAGTCAGGACACAATGGCATTGCTTTTCAGTCTGCATGTAGATCTATGTGGACAGGGCATGACCATGATGGCTGAGTTAGAGGTGGAGGCCTGCATTAGCCCTGATCTTAACTCATCTACTATTGTCAACGTGTTTTAGTGACCTTGAAGCAGACCCCTCTGGTCTCTTCTCTCAGCTAGAGGCAGTAGCCACCAGGAAATGATATAATGTTATGAAGGTTAGAAAACATACACAACACTCACTGGCAACAACACACACAGGGCCACAACATACTCAAACACATAATAACCAAACACAGGCAAACCCCTGCAGTCACATCAATAGGAATATAATCCATTGATTATATTTCTATGGTCACATCAACATGCTATATACACACTGTACTCAGACGCCCCATATACCGTGTCATCTCACCCTGCGAACGTCTGACTCTGCAGAGGAGCGCTCTCCTTGTGGTAGGAACAGGGCATGACACTCAAGAGACTGCAAGTCATAAGAAAAGGTCGGACGGTGAGATAAGATAGGTAACTTCGATGGGCAAAATACATCTAATTACGGACTTAATACGTACATTCACAAGGGCCACGCCCGGAATGATTGAGAGACATATTTAATATCTTATGAGGTAAGGGATTTGGGGGGGGGTCGATGCTTTCTTGGCAAGATACATTTCCAAGGACACTAGCATGCGGCATCAGTGTTTCTAGGGACCTAATACTGCTGACTCATAGTTGCCTGCGGCAGGAATGCATGATCAGACTCAGAGCAGCAATAAGGCGTTCAAAACAGGACTGCAGAGGACAGTTTTAGCTGACAGATAAAGGACACGAGTTTACACCAAACAGAACACTTTCTCCTCTCCATAAAATAAACCAGTAGGCTATTTCACCACATTATTCACATCTGTTCTTTTTCCAAATGCAATCAGCCTATAATGGTTTAATTCAATACTATCCTTGGGTAACACAAGCTGTCATTGCAGTCATTGGTGCTCACTGGATGATGTTTATTCAGTGGTTTAACTGAATATATAGCCTAGAGTCTCATGCAGTTTGCTTCCAATGGTGACCTTACAACGAATCAATGTCCCAAATAGGATTGATAATAGCTTATAGGCTATGCACCACTATGTACCACTATGTACCAAGAGCCTATTTGATTGTAAAACAAACGAACTCCATAGCCAAGTCATCCAAAGTTCAGCACCATGGACAGCGAACAGCACGGTCACATCATAGCCCTAAAACTATATAAACCTGGCTTTCTCACACTGACCCATCTCTGGGAAAACCAGGTAAAGGTAAGTTGATATAAAGTTGCGCCTCTCACCTTTGAACCATTCCTCCGCATGCGTTGCGCTCTTGGTCGCGTGGCCATCCAGCTGAGCGCGGATCTCCCGCAGGGCGCTCGTGACGTCCGCCTTGATTGTGTCTCGAGCCTCGAAGCTCACCTGTGCACCCTGGATCTGTGCTAGCAGCTCGGCCACCTCCTCCTCGTGGTTCTTCTTCAGGAACGCGGCTTCTTCCTGCAGCACGCACAGCTTCTTGTCCAGCTCCAGCCGCGCGAGCCCAGACTCATCCACATACTTGTTCATGACGCGTGCCTTGGCCTCCAGCTCCTCCCTGCTGCGTGCCTCGTCCTCGAGCCTGGTCCGCACATGCTGGATATCCTCTTCCAGGTGGTCTTGCTCCAAGAGTGCGCGTGCCTTCTCTCCGGTCAGCTGCTGGACCAGACCCCTTAGGTTCCCCAGCTCGTGCTCATAGTGCTCTCCCACAGTAGCGCGCCCGGTCTGGCTCTGTCGCAGCGCAGCCGCTTCCTGCTCCAGATTCGAGTTCATCAGCTCGAGGTTCCGTACCTTGTCGATGTAGCTGGCGAACCGGTCATTGAGTGTCTGCAGAATCTCCTTCTCGTTCCTTCGAGTCATGTCGCTGTTAAAGATCTCCAAGCTGTCGGCGGAGGGTGTCTGGCTGTAGGCCTGGCGGCGGAGCTGGGGGGTCGTCCAGGGCTGGGAGTGGAAGCCAGAGGAGGAGAGGGAAGCCGCGGGCCGGGCAGAGTGGCCCTGTGGTGCCCTGCGGTAGGAGCCGTGGCCGTAGAGGTGGTCCAGTGGGTAGCTCATCTCTAAACCGGATGCAGACTGCGGCAGGATGGAGAGAGAAGAGCTTTTATACCGCGGGAGGAGAAACTCACAACTCAGCATGGACACTCTCTCTCTTTAAGGATACATCATCTTCGCTATCGTCATGCACCACTCCTTCCTCACTCAGACTAACAACAGAAAAACAACATGACACAGCGCATGAAACTTGAATTTTGAACCAAATGTCCAATTGACATTAGTCAGTCACTTGCATGATTTACACATGGTGTCTAATAGCTTCGGACCGCAAGGATCTTGTCGGGACATTGGGCTTATACAGATGGATCCTACTACATATCTAGTATAATGATCCATCCGTGTAAGGACCCATCTGTGTAAGTCCAATGTCCCGACAAGATCCTAGTTGTCGTCTCAAGCTAGAGGTGTCTGAGTGTGCACAATGCATCAATAGGAGGCTAGAGGTGTCTGAGTGTGCATAATGCATCAATAGGAAGCTAAAGGTGTCTGAGTGTGCATAATGCATCAATAGGAAGCTAAAGGTGTCTGAGTGTGCATAATGCATCAATAGGATTGTGCGATCTTCATTACAGTAGGCCAACATAATTATATCCACAATACCATGTTCACCAGAAGAAATATAGCTGATGTAACATTTAGATTTGGGGTTTCAATTATTTTATTGTGTTTGGACTAGGTTGAAAGTTTAATGTGCAGCTCTTCATTCTGTCTGTCAGTGCTCTGTGAATACATTACAGTGTGTGTGTATGTAAATGTGTGTGGTTCTGTCAGTCGGCCAGGTGTGTGTCCCAGGTGGGTTGAAGTGGATCTGCAGACTCACACTGCAGCGGTAACCACATCAGCAGAACATTTTACATTTTAGTCATTTTACCATGTCAGTCATTGCATACCTTAGAAAGCTATTCATAACTTCTCAGAAATGTCCAGATAAACTAGCCCATGTCAGCTAACGTTTTTTTGCTAGGTTTTTTAGCCCATAGATTTTGTTGTAATGTTTGAGTCACTTAAATATCACATAAATACACATTAGACATGGCAAAATGTATAGAATTGCAAGAAAATTAGCTTTAAAACTGCAACATTTTCTCTGCACCCTATGATAAAAGGTGTAGAATTGCAGGAAATAAGCTTTAAACCTGCAAAATGTTCTCTCCGCCAACAAGAGGGGTGTTAACAGTTTATGTCATGAACAGTGCTTGTGCCAATAGGGGGGGCACAAGATGTTCCCCAATGCTGGAAGGGGGTCTCTCTCTCTCTCTCTCTCAAGCACACACCTGGCCCACTGACAGCTTTACACATCGTAAGAGTGTTTGAGGTTTGATGTCATAATCTGTCTTCATCATGATCCTAAGAAATTGATGAAAGTGAATGGACCAGCTCCAGTGCAATAGTTGGGACCAGAAATACCTCTGTCAATAGCCCTGTTTTAAAAAAATCACACAGTAGAGATGACTGAGCATTAAGTACGCACACACACACTTGCTATTTTAGTGCAGTCCTTGTAAGTGTGTGTCAGCTGATTTGGAGGGATGCATCTGAGGAGGATGATTCTGTCCCTCCAGCGCCTATTGATCAAACTCCTTCAGGCTCTACACACACACACACACACACATGCAAGAACTAGACAGAAGCTGTAGCATTTATATAGTTTAGTTTAGTACCTTAGTACTATACCAATCAATTATCTATTTTAGCTACCTAGTTTTTCTCTCTCGAAGTGAGCACATCAAGTAACATCAAGACCATCACAGCAGCCATCATTATCATTCACACCAGAGTAATACAGTATCTCTTTGCATTTGTATTAGAGTAATATAATAATGACAAAACACAGAAATCTTTCGGTTTTAACCTTTATTAGTTCATCAGTTTGTATTGCATACTCTTAGCAGTTTATACATAGCACAGCCATCCCTGACTTCAGAGTTCTCATCACTGGCCTAGCATAATTACTGACCACAGCACAGTGAGTCAGCACATCCATTGGACAGGGAGCTGTTTAAGATGCAGGTTCGTAGTCTTTCTCTGCTTTTTATATTCGTTAATATAATATACGCATTTATATCTTTATAAATATACATATACAGTACAATATATTCATCTGTCACAATCTTTTATAGACATTTGTTGACATATCTGCCCTTGAAGACTTCAGAAGGTGCATGGTTTCAATTATATTATTTTGTTTGGACTAGTTTGAATGTTTCATGTGCAGCTCTTCATTCTCTCTGTCTGTCAGTGCTGCGAATACATGACAATACACACACACACACATCTGGCTTCCTCTCTGAGATAGTGATTGGTCTCAGATTCACAGCAGTCGATGGAGGGCATACGAGTTCAATGGCTGTAAATCTTTAAGGAACAGCTCAGCTATCCCTCTTTCGCTGTGTAGTTCTGCAGACCCGTTCTCCACAGAACTTTATACCATCAGCATCTGGAATACAAACACTCAAATGTTTCCGCATAAACACACGCATGCACATACGCACGCCACACACACACACACACGTTGTCATGACCTTCTCCTCCTCAGAGACATAACCTCTCACATCACATATCAGTCAGACAGACAGAGCATCACATTCAGACCAGAAATAAACACTAAACACGCTCCGAGTTCCAGTTACTCACTACATCCATTATATATGAGGCCACTGTGAGTGGAGATCACTGAGCAAGAATGGAGTGGTGGAGCCAGTCCTGCATTCTCAGTCCTTGGAATGTCACTCAGTTTGATGTTTGAGGAAGGGAGGGGAAGGTGATGATGTAAGAGGGAGAGAAAGAGAAGAGGGGAGGAGGAGGGAGATGAAAAGAGAGGAAGGGAAGGATAAGGGGAGAGAGGGAGAGGAAGAAAGAGAGAGACATAATGGACATGGAGGGAGGAGAGAGATGATGGAGAGAGAAAAGGAGAGGGAGAAAAAGAGGTGAGAGTGACCTTGGGAAGACAGAGCTCTACTGGCAGGCCTCATATACAGTGCCTTGCAAATGTATTCATCCCCCTTGGCGTTTTTTCCAATTTTGTTGCATTACAACCTGTCATTTAAATGGTTTTTATTTGGATTTCATTTAATGGACATACACAATATAGTCCAAATTGGTGAAGTGAAATGAAAAGAATAACTTGTTTCAAAATTCTAAAAAATAAATAATGGAAAAGTGGTGCGTGCATATGTATTCACCCCCTTTGCTATGAAGCCCCTAAATAAGATCTGGTCCAACCAATTAGCTTCAGAAGTCACATAATTAGTTAAATAAAGTCCACCTGTGTGCAATCTAAGTGTCACATGATCTGTCACATGATCTCAGTATACAGTGGGGAGAACAAGTATTTGATACACTGCCGATTTTGCAGGTTTTCCTACTTACAAAGCATGTAGAGGTCTGTAATTTTTATCATAGGTACACTTCAACTGTGAGAGACGGAATCTAAAACAAAAATCCAGAAAATCACATTGTATGATTTTTAAGTAATTAATTTGCATTTTATTGCATGACATAAGTATTTGATACATCAGAAAAGCAGAACTTAATATTTGGTACAGAAACCTTTGTTTGCAATTACAGAGATCATACGTTTCCTGTAGGTCTTGACCAGGTTTGCACACACTGCAGCAGGGATTTTGGCCCACTCCTCCATACAGACCTTCTCCAGATCCTTCAGGTTTCGGGGCTGTCGCTGGGCAATACGGACTTTCAGCTCCCTCCAAAGATTTTCTATTGGGTTCAGGTCTGGAGACTGGCTAGGCCACTCCAGGACCTTGAGATGCTTCTTACGGAGCCACTCCTTAGTTGCCCTGGCTGTGTGTTTTGGGTCGTTGTCATGCTGGAAGAACCAGCCACGACACATCTTCAATGCTCTTACTGAGGGAAGGAGGTTGTTGGCCAAGATCTCACGATACATGGCCCCATCCATCCTCCCCTCAATACGGTGCAGTCGTCCTGTCCCCTTTGCAGAAAAGCATCCCCAAAGAATTATGTTTCCCACCTCCATGCTTCACGGTTGGGATGGTGTTCTTGGGGTTGTAGTACTCGTCCTTCTTCCTCCATCACAGCAGCCATCATTATCATTCACACCAGAGTAATACAGTATCTCTTTGCATTTGTATTAGAGTAATATAATAATGACAAAACACAGAAATCTTTCGGTTTTAACCTTTATTAGTTCATCAGTTTGTATTGCATACTCTTAGCAGTTTATACATAGCACAGCCATCCCTGACTTCAGAGTTCTCATCACTGGCCTAGCATAATTACTGACCACAGCACAGTGAGTCAGCACATCCATTGGACAGGGAGCTGTTTAAGATGCAGGTTCGTAGTCTTTCTCTGCTTTTTATATTCGTTAATATAATATACGCATTTATATCTTTATAAATATACATATACAGTACAATATATTCATCTGTCACAATCTTTTATAGACATTTGTTGACATATCTGCCCTTGAAGACTTCAGAAGGTGCATGGTTTCAATTATATTATTTTGTTTGGACTAGTTTGAATGTTTCATGTGCAGCTCTTCATTCTCTCTGTCTGTCAGTGCTGCGAATACATGACAATACACACACACACACACATCTGGCTTCCTCTCTGAGATAGTGATTGGTCTCAGATTCACAGCAGTCGATGGAGGGCATACGAGTTCAATGGCTGTAAATCTTTAAGGAACAGCTCAGCTATCTCTCTTTCGCTGTGTAGTTCTGCAGACCCGTTCTCCACAGAACTTTATACCATCAGCATCTGGAATACAAACACTCAAATGTTTCCGCATAAACACACGCATGCACATACGCACGCCACACACACACACACACACACACACACACACACGTTGTCATGACCTTCTCCTCCTCAGAGACATAACCTCTCACATCACATATCAGTCAGACAGACAGAGCATCACATTCAGACCAGAAATAAACACTAAACACGCTCCGAGTCCCAGTTACTCACTACATCCATTATATATGAGGCCACTGTGAGTGGAGATCACTGAGCCAGAATGGAGTGGTGGAGCCAGAATGGAGTGGTGGAGCCAGTCCTGCATTCTCAGTCCTTGGAATGTCACTCAGTTTGAT